TTGCATCTGACTGAGGTCACGTTCCGACGCACTATGGTCTGACACACGGAACAGACAGTGCGGGGGACTAGGAGCTGCTGGGTAGCCCTCGCACGGGAGGAGGATGAGGAGCTGGTTGTGGGTGGGGATGGGGGTGGAGGTTGGGGGGAATCATGCTGCGGGGAGCTCCGTAAGACCGTGGAGGTCTGCAGATTACCCAGAGTGGGTATGTGTGCTGAAGGCACTGCCGTGGAGGCTGAGGGGGCGGTTGGACGCTGGCAGCATGGGGCCACATAACTTGTGGTCCATTCCCTGTGGGTCTTAAGGCCTGAGCAGGTCTTAAGATGACTCCAGCCATTGCACTGGGTGCATCTAACCGAGGTGGATGAATGGTGGAGTCTTCTTTGACACACGCAGCAGAAGTAATCCGTCGGTCCAGGGTTGGTTTCTACACCAGCCCTGATCAGAAGGATTTGGAGCAACCCAGCTGCGAGGTGTTGCTCCGTTGACGTACTTAGACTAAGGTTACCTGTAGACCTAAACGGGGTTAGGTCTCCGAAAGGGTGACAGCCCTTGGCCGGATAAAATCCGGGTCAACTCCGGTGCGTAGAACCGGCTGTCGTGAGAGTTGAATGAATTAGTCTAATCGGCATTGCTTAAAAAATTCCTTTTCAAAGAAGGAGCTAGAAAGCAATAGCTCCATAAAAGAAAATAGCTACTTTTAATGAAATTTTATTTTGCAAACTGATTTTTAAAGCAAACATCAATTTTATGGCGGCCGCAGTAGCCGAGTGGTTGCGTAACCATCAGCTGTTCGAAGGCGGTTTAGTATAAACTGTAGGTCCCTCCATTTGCAAAAAATCAATCAAATCAAGGCGCAAAAAAAAAATTGGAGGAGATCGGACGAAAAATCGCTTCAGCGGTAATTGGTTTTTGTTCTCCTGCTCTCGCCTTTATGAATTCCCTTTGCCAATTGTATATAGGTGGATGTATCGATGCAGCCCCAAATAGCTTTTCTTGGAAGACAATACTGAAAGTACTAAATATAGTTCTTTATTTTGCATATTAAAACTATAAACTTTAGATGGTGAAAAATTAGTGTACTTAGCTTCAAAAACCTTTCTTTCCATAGGCCGTTAAACTATTAATTTTTCAAATATGTCAATTATTCCATTCTTTGAATTAGTCTTTTTGAATAGATACAGTGTAGTTATTCCATAATCAACACTTTCTGAAATTTATTGAATAGAACAAACTAGAGTCTTCGATTATTTTAAGATCGGAGTTTCGCTGGGGCACGGGATTTACAATACATACGTTCTAGAAGGCGTTTGCGGTAGCTATGCAAGAACTAATAATAACTAACAATTGAAACTGAATAAAAGGAAAATAATTAAACGCAAAATATAGAAAAACAAAATTAACTTTGTATGCTTATACACAATATACATCATGAACGCTTAAGCTTTTTTAGAATCTTCGTTATATTTTTTGTGCCAGTCCAAATTTTGTTTGGTTACAGAATCGCCACTTTTTGCTGCTTGTTTACCACTGTATACCATAATACAGCAACCAAACACTGTAAGTGCCATCATTATGTTTGCCACTCGTATTCGAATTTTGTTGCGACATCTCTCCATAACTTCATGACTGAAAGTAAAGTAAAATTACGTATATTAAATTTCCTTTGGTGTACATGTATAGGATAAAAAGTTGTTAAAAAAAAAAAAGGTTTTTAGAGCAACATAAAGCTCAATTTAAAAACTTATTAATAATAAAAATCCTAGGAGTCTCTTAATATGGTTCATGTCGAGTTTTTAAATTTCTTCGAAAATTTTAAATAGAAAAGAATAAATAGAGGTACTATAGTATGTCTTGTGAGTTAGCTTACCTATTCCTTTTATATGCAAATGTTTTTCAAATTTAGTAGTTTTATATAAGGAAACAAATCTTAATTTCTAAAGCAACTTTAGTTGTGCTCTGCCGGAATTGACCCACCGATTCATTTATGTAATGGCATTTCGCAATGACGAAATTATGCTAGTATATCAGATAACGAAGTTTGTTAAACTCGTCGTTATTATAAATATTATAATAAATATATCAAGATGAATAGATTAAATTTTTACCTAACATGTGCAGGAACTTCATCAAGGGTTTTATATTTTCCACTCCATACTAAAAACCGTTTTTCAAGGTTGTTTGGGTTGTGGCTATGAATCGGTTTGTTAGAGTTTTCACTCATTGACCTGATATTTTTTAAGACAAATTTGCTCGTCCACCCGAAAGAATTCAACTTTCCAAACATTTTTATCCCTATTTAAAAATTGTTTCATATAATAGCCAAGCAAATTGATAGTAATTGTGATAACAAAAGCTTTGTTTTTTTCTTATAAGATAATGTAGAGATAATTCAACAAAAACATATGAAGTATCGATGTGTTTTTATCGATATTTTTTTAAAATCGTGTCTTATCGGCTATCTTGACCTTTGATGTTTATTCCCGTAATGGCATTGGGCGTATTCAAAAGCTGATTTGTTTTTCAAGCTATGTAATGTATGATAAATAATTGTTCATTCACACAAAATCCGGGACGGCTGAGCTTTGCCATTTGGGCCAACGTTAGTTTAATTCAAAAGAATTGACTTCTTAATGAATTTTTTAAGAGTAGTTCTGGACGCTGCTTAGGTTTACTTGTTGTATTTTACGAATGACGGGTTGACTTTATGCTTTCTATCGGTGAAAATTTCCTGGTTGATAGTACCAACCTCTGCATGATCTGAAATCCTGAATCCCATGCCGTTTAATTTTTGACAGAATACTCCTCTATTAGCCTTCAGACAAGCTCGACACATTACTTATATCGCGATTATATCCGAGTTAATAGCATTGCCCCACTCGTTACTTCTTTTTGCTGTTTGGAGCCAATTGGTCATACCAAGTGCACTAAGTCCTTCTCTATCTGGTCTTTCCAACGCAGTAGAGGTCTTCCTCTGCTTCCACTGACTGATTGACCGAGCCAGCGGATACACTGCTCCATGATTCCCTGAACTATGTCAATATCGCCGTAGAACTCGTTCAGCCCATCGTTCCATTGTCTGTGATATTCACCGTTGTCATGGTCCATGCCTCTGCACCATTTAGCCGGACGGTAATGATGTGGGACTTATAGTTTGATTTTCGTTCGTGGGGAAGGTCTTTACTTTTCAATTGCCTACTTAGTCCAAAGTAGCCCATGTTGGCAATAGTGACTCTGCACTGGATTTCAAGGCTGAAATTATTATTGATTGCTGGTTCCCATATAGACGAAATTGTCTACTTTAAAGTTACCACCGACAACAGTGAGGTGAGATGTGTGATGACAGGAGATATTTCATCTTGACCTCGTTCACTACCATGTTCTTCGCCTCTTTATCCAGTCTGGAGAAAGCAGATCTCATGCGCGGTTGTTGAGGCCTACTCGACATATTCCTTAAGAAAATAAGTGCTTCTTTCAAACAGTGGTTTTGTTCGATCCAATCCTCTTATAAAGGACTATAGTGGTGAAGAAGTCACCTAGTTCGGAGACGCAACGACCCATATAGTTGGAGATGAAATCGAGAAATCAAGAGCACCTGATTAGCTAATTAATAAGATAGGTTTAAATGATATTATTTAGATGCAGTTTAAAACAAATATTAAGGTGAACGACGACTAAGGAGCAGAAGCGTTTTCGGGATCCTATTGTAGGAATTCCTTAAATATATCGGATTTATAAATGATTACCATAAATAGTACAATAATGAAAAGAGAAAAATATTTCTTTCTTTATTTCAAAATTTGAAGTATGAAAATTTTATTAATAAACCATCATGAGGCTCTAGTGTGCAGGTATGTCCGGCATCGTTCTTTGAATGCTTTTAAGGAACGCTCATTCACAATATCCTCCACATTTACTTCTGATTGTAAAAGTCGAAGCTAAAATAATAAAGAAATCAATTAGATATAAATAGGGGTGAGTTTCAAAACGTCTGTTGCAAAGCAACCATACATTGTCAAGCATTCCAAAATGCAACTATGCAAACTTTGACGATTTATCTTGTTTCAAAATACATCGGTAAAGTTATTGATGCGCAAATAAAAGCAAATTGTGCATCGCTAAGGGTTTTGATGATTTATTTTTAATTATAAATTCTTAACAATAACGACCGACGTCGGAAAGCAAGTTTTACATTACATTACTTATCAAGACAAATTTATAGAATGCAGGATTGCATTGTTTTGATGCAGTTTCGCAACCGCATCATTACAAAGTATGTTGACGTTTTAGAACCCGGCTTATAAGAGTAAATTATTAATAAAATCACAGGCAACTTTAATTTTCAAATATCGCATGAATTATGGGTCAAGAAGGGTAGATTTTTATATTTGTAATCTACGTATAAGCTGCGGCATTTTCCTTGATAGAACTTTTACCTTCGAAAATGCGGCTACTATAGCTAAATAATTCGTGCTGTATTCATCGGAAATGCATAAAGCATCACTGAAACAGACGTGGTATTACCGAGGTACTACCTTACCCTCCGTTCATAACAGCCGACTGAAACAGCGATATCCATACACGAGTTATCGACGCTACTGAGAGCAGCGTAATGTTACCAGCTGCCAGTGTGTTTGCACACTTTTGAACAAATATATAATATTCGTCAACGAATTTCATAATTTGAATATAAACGCCAATCAAATATACTTGATCTATTTGGTAATAATTAGTTAGTTCTCATTTCTTTTGGAAATAAACTACGCATTATTTTCGATTATTTAAATATTACTTTAGAAAAGTCAATACTGGCAACTTTGTATAGCAACGAGAAATGAACAGAGGCGGTTTTACGGAAAAAATCATATCGCCGGTGGTTTCTGCGTGATAACCGCCAGTAACGGCATGGGCCAGCGGTGAGAACTTCGTATTTACATGGCGCTCTCATAAGATAGGTTGCTAAGGACGGATGGTACGTAAGATTACTAAAGGAAATAAACCTGAGAATGCATTTTTTATATGTAAAATGGGGGAAAACTTAATATTTTGATAAAACTAATTAAATAAAATCGTTTTAAAGGTTCAAGTCATTATTCATTATTAGCGATATTTACGTGTTCTTTGTGATTATATTTGCTTTTGTTCCGGAATTTTGGTTGGTCAAAAAATCAACTTTAACAACAAATTTCTCGAAAACTATGTTACTTTGGGGGACGGCATATATTTTTATAATGCCCAACCCTACCAAGAGGAAATTTTTTCAAAGCCTGGCATACCCTTGTAAAGTTTCCCCATTTCTAAAATTTATCTTCAGAAAATATAGTCATATTGACTTCAAAAAAGTGTTTCATTTGCTTTTCCAACGATACCAAATTTCTAAACTTCGACGTACAACGTGTACAGCATTTTATAATTTTCGAAAATTCCCCCTTCGCACACCATATCTACGAAAATAAAAAATTTATCTGATTAAAATTAGGAAAATACGGCGGACCACGCAAACTTTTTTTATTTTTGCTTTGATTTAACGGTATGTACTATGTACTCGTTCCATTTTCCCGCGGCAAGGCATATCTATCGAAAGAGGCGAATAAAATCTGATTTTCCTCGACGGTCGGGTCTTTACTCTTTTATTCGGCCAAGGGCTGTCACTCTTACAATATTCCCCGAAACCAGTTCTGGGGAATATTTTTGCGGTTACAACAACACGGCAGGAGTGAGTTATACGTTTTCGTACGGTCAAAGATGTCATCATTGGTACGGTATCTAGTTAATACTAACCTTCCGTTGCTCCGATTTAAACTTCTTATCGATTTCAACATCATCTGGACTGTTATCTCTTAATTCACGTAATTGTTTTAAAGACTCTGCAGAAATTAGTATGCAATCGTTTATTTTGTTCTCTCGCTTTCTATGAACTTCTTTTAGCTGATTAAACAAATTTGTACAGACCTTCTCACAATTGACCTGACCTTTAAATGATTCAGTCGGCAGAGATGTATTTAACGTATATATGATATTGTCATCTACAGCACGGAGCTTCTTAATACTTTCCTTTGAAAAATAAGTCATATAATAACATTCATTCTCTAATTTAACAGGCATACCTGGAATTCCAGGAAATCTTCACATGGTTGACTTGCAGACATTGGTACCGGTAATAAATAGATATACAAGTTGATTATCGATATCTGTAAACATCGATATTGGAAAACCATAGTCGTTGAAAGATAAGCATTGTAAAATTAGAAAAAGGATTGATCGATTGCATTGTGATTGTTGAATTTTTGTATATTCGATTAGTCATAGTTTACACAGGGATACTTATTGTCGACGACCCACTCACATCTCCTTTATTTTGGGTCGCACTTTGAATTGTTTGTAGCTGTCTTAAATTTCTAACGAATAAATGCCGCAAATCTTGCAATTGAAATTTTTTTATTACAATATTTATATGAGCATGCGAACATATACTACGTTTATTATTCGTTTGTTCTCGGGTTTATTCTATTCGGGTAAATTAAACTCGCAAGCATAAACACTTTCACCACGAGTTAAGGCGTCTACTCGGGTAGATAATACACATTTTCTCTACATACGTAGAAGCGCTAACTCGGTAGCATAAATACGGGATGAGTTGAAATCAGCTGATTTGTATTATAAACGATTGATACAGAGTTTCCGTATTGCTATTTTATAAATGTCTATCTAAAATTTTATCATTCTGAATTGCGCACGAGTACAACATTTGGCGTTTATGCTTGTATCTAATTATTAATATAATACATATTTCAGATAATGGAGTTTGCAGATGCATATGCATTACGCTTACAATATTTTGCAGATTTTTGAAAACGAATTTATTGTTGTATTTTTATTTCTTTTGCATGCTATATAACCATATACATGATATATGTAAAATATTGGAATAAATATGTATATATGTATTGTACGGAAAATTCTGTTAATAGATCAGGTTGAGTAGAATGGACGCAGCACCACATCTCAAAAATATTGAACAAAACTTTGCGAAGTACAACTGCATTAAAATATTAATAACACTATGATTCGAAAATAAATTTTTAATATTACTTAGATGCACTTATACTTCAAAGGAGCTGCCATTATGACGGAGGCGTTCGTGGAGCTGAGGAGCTGCTATTAAAGACTTCTGTATATGCGGTTTTGCTTATAAAATTTTGCTAATTTTTGAAAACGATTGTTTATGTACATGATTTATGTTAAATATTGAAATAAAGACTGAATCATAATAATGTTTGTATGTAAGTATTTATATATGTAGGAAAAATTTGTGTCAAAACTGATTTTCTTCGGCGTCAATGGTATCGCTCATCTGTGTTCTTCTTGTACGGCACTGCTGCTGCTTTTTTACGTCCATATTGTTTTCTCTTGCTATCAATGTGGTCGCTCAGCTGTGTTCGGTTTGTCCGACAAGAAAGTGATAGGAAAATCGTTCTACGAGCTGACAGGATATGTCGTCATGCGTTCCTGACATATGTTGGCTCAAAGGCTCAAGGATTGGAAATTTTTTTGTAGGTGAATTTCAAAGTCTTTGAAAAATTGTTTTTCGAAAATGCCTATAATTGAAAATTAAATTTAGGCCAAGTAAAAAGTTCGTTCGGTTTTTTTTTATCAAAATATTATAACTTTGTGTACATTTGTCCGATTTAAGTCAAATATGCGCCGTTTTGTTCCTAAACCAACGAGATGCGAACTTCAATATACACCTCTCGTAGAAGGCTGCTTTCCTATTGACAAAAAACTCGGAGAACCAATTTTCACAGGCCAACTTCTCACCAATAACCGCGTTCGCCATGGACAGGAAAATATGGTAATCACATTTTTCCAGGTACGGACTATGAAAAGGGTGCATTAGGACCTCCCATCTGAGCTTCTGACGCGTTGTCCTGATGGAACACAATTCGGTCTCTGTTGATAAAAGATGGCTTCTTTTGGATGACTGCTGCCTTCAGTAGCCGGCAGTAGAGAGCCGAATAGAGCGTTTGACATAGGGGAGCAGTAGTAGATTACTTGCCAACCCCACAAAACACACAGCAAAACCTTCCTAGCCGTCAATCCGGTTTAGGCCACCGCCTGGGCCGCTTCCCCGAGCTTTGACCACGACCGTTTGCATTCGATGTCGTCGTAAGTAATCCATTTTTCATCGCCAGTCCCAATCCGCTTCAGAAACGGGTCGATTTTGTTGCGTTTCAGTAGCGATTCGCAGATGAAAATTCGGTCCATCATTTTTTTTTTGCGTTAATTTGTGTGGCACCCAAACATCGCGCTTCTTTTCTAATCCTACACGTTCGTTTACAGTATCGGGCCAATAAACTAAATTAATTTTTTTTCAGCCGCTTTGGCTTCTTTTTCGCCTTGATCGAAGAAAATTTTTAATATATAGCGAATTTTCTCTTTGCTAGTGTCAAAACTCAAAAAATAAGAAAAACCAAAATTTATGTTCCTTTTTTTGGCGAGTTTTCTTATTAGCTCTTTCTTTGGAAGGAAATTATGTAAGCAACGGTTATTAGACTCATACATTGGCCCTGATATATTAAAGTACTATAATTATGGTGATCTTAAGAGATTACTAGAATTACACCATTCTTTAGTTTTTGTATCGCTGAGTAGGCAGTGTAGTTTATCTATGTAATTATTATTTATAGTTTGTATTTGGAAAAATATATTATATTTAACCATAATATAACCGTAATTTCCTTTCAAAAAATGGTTCTTGCCTACCAAGGCCCTTTTTAAAATTTTTTTGGCCTACATGAATCCAGAAACATGTAGATCCTTCAACTTGTGGATCTAGGAAAAACTATCGATCTCCCCGTTCTATATATTAATATATAAAACACAATGGATTGCTTAGACAACCTTCTCAAATAGGAATCCCAAACAGGAACGAATGGGGTGAAAAACAAACGCCCTAATTCAAGCAGCCATACCCATCTTTACAGACGGATCAAAGTTTGTTGAAAGAGCAGGCTCCTAAGAAGTACGAGCTAAAATTACCATTACTATGAAAAAATTAAATGAAAAAAGATGAATTCGCTGTTCTAGTAACTCCACCTTGGTTTCTAGTTAAAGAATTAAATACAAATGACATCCATCAATTAGATAAATATTTATTTTATAACAGCATACATAATAATAATACAACAAAGTTTGTTTTTACATTTTTTTACAATTACTTTCAATATTTTAAATTACCCATACACACATATTTGATTTCGACGTATTCATCGATACCATGATGACTACCTTCGCGACCTATACCCGACTCTTTAACTCCTCCAAATGGTGCTTCAGCAGCAGATATTAAGCCTTCATTGACACCCACCATGCCAACTTCCAAGAGTCTTGCCACTCTAAAAACTTGTTGCAAATTTTCACTGAAGAAATATCCAGCGAGACCACGTCTTGAATTGTTAGCAGCCTGTATAACCTCTTCCTCAGTTTTAAATTTTACAACAGAAACCACCGGTCCAAAAACTTCTTCCGTATATAGCTTAGCGGTTGATGGTACATCTGTTATTATTGTCGGTGAATAGAAGAGTTTTCCTACTTTCTCCAGAGGTGTACCACCAAATATTACTTTAGCATTTTTTGAACGGGCATCTTCAACTAATGCGTGAACCTTCAAATTAGATGTGTTATATGGAATCGTTATTTTAAATATTGTTAGATGTTATCTATTTACCTTGTTAAATTGCATGTCATTAATAAGTGGTCCAATTTGAACATCAGGTTTGGAACCATCGCCTATTTTTAATGCTTCAACTTTCTGCTTTAACAAGTTTATAAACTTGTCATGTATTTCTTCCTGTAAGAAAAAACGATTCGCTGATATGCAAGTTTGACCACAATTACGGAATTTTGATGACACTGCTGCGTCCACCGCTTTATCTAAGTTCGCCGAGTTAAAGACGATAAATGGAGCATTTCCACCTAACTCCAATGATAAGCGCTTAATTCCGTCTGATGAATTTCGAAACAACCATTTTCCCACTTCTGTGGATCCGGTAAAGGATATTCCCTTAACATCCGGACTCTTACAAAATAATTCTCCTATAGGAACCGCTTTGTCTGTTGTCACAATATTAATCACTCCATCCGGAAACCCAGCGTCTTCCGCCAATTTTACAAGCGCTAAAGCTGTAAGTGGTGTATCCTCGGCTGGTTTGATGACAATTGTACAACCTATATATATACATATATGTATACACCAGTTAAAATTTAAAATGTCTATGGTCTTCAAAGTGAAATTGAGCTTTAAATGAATGTGTTGTTGTTGTTGTTATTATAACCGCACAATATTCCCCGAATTAGTTTTCGGGGAATATTGTGGGAGTGACAGTCCTTGCTTGGATAAAAAATCCGAGTCGTTCTGGTGTAAAGACCCGACTATCGTGGAAGCTATTGGATTTTAGTCGACTTTTACGACAGGCATGTCTTACCACGGGTAAATTATTCAGCCTGTGTTTGTCATATCTTTAAATGAACGTCATAAATGATCGCTCACACAGTAATGCAAACTCAAAAATATGTACGGCAGCTTCACCTCGTCCAAGTAAGCAAACAACAAACCATTATTCTAACACATCAAACTCCCGCAGAGTTTGTCTACCAACTACTATTGTCGCGTCTGAATCATTTGAATGAAAAGCAAATCTTAGGGCTATAGTTCATTAATTATGAGGCCGCCATCTGTCTTATACGTAACTGAATAAATGGGCTATCCAAATATACCAATAGCAGCCAGTTGCATTTTTAGACACTACATCGACTAATTTGTATGTGTACATTTCTAAATAAATGTATATGTATGATTTTTTTTTATAATTTGTTTTCTAACCTGCTGCCAAGGCTGCTCCGGCCTTTCGAGTAATCATTGCCATTGGAAAGTTCCAGGGGGTTATAAGAGCTGCAACCCCTAACGGTTGTTTGAGTACAATTATTTCTCGGTCTTTGACTGGGCTTGGGATAATGTCGCCATAAATACGACGTGCTTCTTCTGCAAACCATTCAATAAATGCATTGCCGTATGTCACTTCTCCCCTAGCTTCATGTATGGGCTTTCCTGATTCAGCACTCATAATTTTTGCTATTTCATCGGAATTTTGCTCAATCAAATTATACCATTTCTAAAATGCATTGATTTAATTACTATTATATGCCAATAATAAAATTTTCAATCACCTTTAACAAACTCGAACGTTCTTTGGCTGTATATTTGGACCACTCGGATGATTCAAATGCTTTTTTCGCAGCCTTTACTGCTTGAGTAGCATCATTGACGTCCATGTTAGGAACGGATCCAACCACGACGCCATTTGCGGGATTAATGACATCGAATGTCCGGTTATTACCAGCGTTAATCCAATTGCCATCAATAAAAGCTTTCGATTGGACCAAGGAAGAAAATGATCTTAACCTAATAAAACTAAGTTTCTGTCGAAAATTATTACAAAAGATCATTATTGAATTTTCTAATTAGGAATGTGCTGATAATAGTTCTGCTGCTTTGATAAGAGCAACATATGTAAATACTCGATACTTTTTCCAAATTCCGAGTGCCGTAGCTAGCAGTCATCACAGAACAGTATTTGCGTTACGTTGCAACTACCAATTTTACATACCTTCCGTCCATAACAGGCGATGCCAAGAGCCAGATACACAAACACTTGGTGACGGGACTGAGAGTGGCGGAATATTACCGGCTGCCAGTGTGTTTGCACGCTTCCGAACAAATATTTAATTTTCGTCAACAAATTTCATAATTTATGTTTTCTAATATAAACGCAAATGAAATATACATGATCTATATGGTAACAAATAATTAGTTACGCATTCAGTTTTCATTTCTTTTGAAAAAACTACTCATAATAATAATGGAAGATTATTTAATATTACATCATTTACTTGGGTTATGTTTATACCATTTAAGCGAATTGCAGGACATGATTGCGGTCTTAAAGTAAATGTAACGTGTTTACACTTTTGTTCATTAACTTTATTTCTCCAGTTTTTTTTAGCTATTCTTCGATGAGGAGTAAATGTTCACTAATCGTTTATGCTGCTCTTTTAGGGCATTTATCCCGGCATAAAATAGCTGTGGAATCGGCAAAGGTAGATGTCTGCACTTTTTGGTTTAATGGGATGTCTGCACTTTTTGGTTTAATGGGATGTCTGCAGTGTATATGATATATAAAATAGGCCCAAGGACGCTACCCTGCGGAACTCCCGCTTTTACCGGGTACTCCTCACTGATAAATTCAGATTATTTAATGGTAAATTGTCTGTTAGTCAGATATGACTTAAGTATCATATAAAATTGAACAGGCAGAGCTTTATGTATTTTGTACAGCAAACCTTTATGCCAGACTTTGTCGAATGCTTGTGCTGCGTCAAGAAAGATTGCACAACAGTACTCTTTGAGCTCGAATACCTTTCTGATTTCATTAGTTATTCGGTTAACTTGTTCGATAGTACTATTCTTTTCACGAAAGCCGAATTGGTGATCTGGTATCACATTGTTACGGTGGAGAAAAGGAGATATCTTTGATGGAAGAATTTTTTCAAATAATTTGGAAAGACTGGGTAGGCTTATTGGTCTGTAAGAAGCCGTCTGTGTGTGGTCTTTGCCTGGTTTGGCTATCATTAATATCCACGCGTTTGGAAAGTAATTTAGTTTTAGAATGGCATTACAGAGTTCAGAGAGCAATGCTTCTGCAACTCTTGGTAGCTCTATTAGCATTTTTGATGTAATGAGGTCGTGGCCTGGAGATTTCTTAGGATTCAGTTTCTGTATCGCATTTACCACTTCTAGCCTTGATACTTTAATTGCCATCTGATTTTCCTGGCCGCTAACAGCAAATTCCGGTAGAATAAAATTATTAGTTGCTTCATTTGGCTGGAATGCATTACTTAAATGCTTTGCAAAGCAATTTGCCTTTTCTTTGTGTTTGCTTGCTGTTACCTTTTTTCTTTTGTTTTTCTGCCGACTTCGCCGTCTGTTTAGCGCTAGTTAAGTACTGCTGAGAGTCTTCGGCTGCAACTACCCATTTCACTTACCAGCCGTCAATAAGTGGCGACGAAAAGGCGAGATAAACACACGAGTTATCGACGCCGCCGAGAGTGGCGAAATGTTGCCAGCTGCCTGTGTGTTTGCACACTTTTGAACAAATTCATAATTTTCGTCAACAAATCTCGTAATTTATGTGTTCGAATATTAACGAAAATCAAATATATATTATCTATATGGTACAAATAATTAGTTAGGCTTTTATTTTTCATTTCTTTTGAAAAAAACTACGTATTTTCTGCGATTATTTAATGTTTCTTTAAGAAAGGCTATACTGGCAACCTTGAACAACAACGAAAAATGAGCCGAGCCGGTTTTACGGAAAAAATCAAAACTTCGTTGGTTTCTGCGGAACGACCGTCACTAACGGTATGGGCAAGCGGTGACAACTTTGTGTTTACATGGCGCTCTCATAAGATAGGTTACTATGGACGGCTGGTACGCGCGTTGGGTAGTTGCAGCTTTCTGCTTGCATGTTGCTTTCTTTTGCCGTTGTTTGTGTTGACGTTATATAAGAAAAATATGCGTTTGAGAGCCTTCGGTCCGGCAGGTTTAGCCGCGACGCACTCATTTTTGTTTTTGTACTCACTGGATAACTTTTTGTTTATTTTTCTGTTTATACTTATTGTTTATTAATATTGTGTTGTATTATTTAATTTGGAGCTTATTAGTGATTTCCTTTTGTTTTTAAGTCTTCAGATTACACTAAAGGCACTTGCTAAGTTATTTTGAATTTTCACTGTATGCTTTATTTTATTTAATTATGAGCAGTGCTTAATTGCTTGTGTGATCTTACAGCTCTCTCAACGAATATTATTCCCGGTTATTGGAACAGTATTTGTATGCAAAAGTTAGTGGAAAAGATGTGTCTACGAAATATTTCCGGCTATTGGAGCCCTTCCAACAACTTGATTTTTAACACACTAAGTGAAGGCAAGGTATCCCGAGATTCAATAGCCACGATGAGAACGATTTATTCAAACTCGAAAGTAAAATTATTGTCACCATTTCAATTTCGTTTAGCGGTTCTTACACCGCATAGAATTCACTTATACGTTCTTTCATGTTGTTGCCCCCCGACTTACGAAGATAAAGCAACTTCTTGAACAACGTAATTTTACAAGTTTGTCCGGACTATTCCATGCCCCCCATTAAGTTTTGCTGTGCTTGACGTGATTAAGTTGCGAAAACTTTATGCTCAACATAATTGATGCGAGTGCCTTCTCGTCTTGCATATCAAACGCACCATATTCAGCTGCTGTTGATTCTTCATTCTTGATGCACTTCATTTGGATTGGCCACGACGCATAATTGAAATCGCCCTCAATAGAATATAAACCGCCAAAACTCATTTTTAAACGATTACGTTTATGCACAAAATTCGAACAAATCAAACATTTAACAATGTCCGCGTAAAAGGACAATAACCTATTAAAGGACCATATTTCGGACCGACCAAAAACAAACGCACAGAAATCCGTTTGGCCACCACTAACAATATAATAAATAAAAAATCTGTACATTTTCTTACTTTCTAAAAGTCATGGCATACTATTTGTAAATCAATGAATATGTGATTTGTTGTATTCATATACTTCAAAGTTTTAACATGTGAAGAGTATTTCAACATACATAAAATTTATATAAATAAATATATTTTAAAGCATCAATGAAATATGTATATCTGCGGCTATTAACTGGCATTCATGTATTATGGAAATTTTATTTATTTTTAAATAAAACTTATTATGCTATTTCTTACATAGCTGCATCAGCTGCCACTGTACTTGCGGATATGAAATAAGGTATTTCTCTCTTACATTTATAACGTTACCAGGTTTTAGAAATTTTGCTTATAATGTTTCGAAATAAAACCTCTTTAAAAGTTCGGAATGTTCCTTTTCGTGGGACGTTCGCACTTCTTCGATTTCTTTTAAAACTTATTTGCGTGTTGCAATTTTACAAAAGATTGTCATTCAGTAATCAATTATTTAAAAAAAAAATATTATTATTTGAAAAATTTCAAAATCAATATGACGAATATTGAAAAATTAAAATATTCAAAGTATAAGGAATGTAATTCAAAATAATTTATAATAAGCAAAAAATCAAAATGTAGATTTACACATTAGGGCATGCCTGCAATGCAATTCTGTAACTTTTATCGACACGATTTGTCGGATCGCAAAGTTGCGAATTTTGTCGCTTGCGCAGTTGTTACGATAATCGACATCGCACATTTCCATTTTATTAGCTCAACGAAACGTCGAAATGTACAAAAAGCACAAAGAGGAATGACAAAAACAAATAAATTTAATATTGAAATTATTTTTTTTAAAAGAATAGCAGTGCATTACAAAGTTTTTCAAAAGCATGTTATGGTTTGCACTTTCATGCATGACTCTTCGCTCTATAGGGGAGCTCCAAATAAACTAATTGTGCCGCGCTCTTGGGTACTTGGCATTTGCCAATATAATCTTACGATAAGGACCACAGATCTATGTGAAAATATAAGTAACAAAGTCATTCATCATTCTTACAATAGTAATCGGAAACAAATTTACTCTCACCATTTGCACATTGATGGAATGGTATCCATGGTGGTTTGTATACGCTTCTTCATGATTTTTGGGACTCATGTGCAATCAATAGCTCCAATAAATGGTGACGATGACGAAGCAAAAATTTGGAAAACTAAAAGAAAACCTCGAACGGTTGATTGCGTATGTTACGCGATGAATATAACAGTTTACTGACGACTGACTCATGGACATCCCCATTGCAAAAAATCACGAGGCGGTTAGAACCTTTAAACATTTTAATAGTGTTAAGACTGAGAAAAATATGGAAAAAATATATTATTACTTGTTTCTCCGTAGACAATGCTGTTATTTTTCTTCCTTTTAGTTGACAATCTAGTTCAGAAACGATTTCTTCAACTAAATCCGGCGAAACTCGGTAGCATCCAAATGAAAAGGATCTTCCGCTTCTCGACGCAAACTTCTATCCGATGGGTAGGATACCTCTTCATGTTGTGATAAATCCTATGACAAATATTCAAAAGTCATTTATTTCATCATTTTGTTTATATTTTTTTATTACTTAGACACTTTACTCTCTTATATGAAATAACAAAATTTTGTCGATATCGCTAACAACTTAAAAATATTCGTGGCTTAGTTAGCGATTTTTCGAGTAGTTTACGACAACAGCGAGAGCGAATATCGTTAAAACAAGTACACCGAATATTAATATCGTTAGAATTATCGTTAAGTCTTCTTTGCGATCCGAAAATCGTTATACCATTTTAGAGAATAGCGAATATCGTTAAAAATATGGCTAAGTCTTATTTGCGATCCGAAAATCGTTATACCATTTTAGGGAATAGCGATTATCGTTAAGAATATCGCTAAGTCTAATTCGCGATACTTAGAGAATAGCGAAATCGTTAAAATTATCATTAAGTCATTATAACGATCCGAAAATCGTTATAATACGATAGAGAATTGCCCTACTGATCTCTTGTTGAGGCTTGGAGTAAGCTATTTATAAATGGAATAGATATGTTACGTACTTCGCTTGCGTGATCTGCACCTCAATCTTGGATGGAAATTTCGAAACGATAGTGCAATTCTAAATAAAAATCGAGTTATCGATATATTAAGTAGAAAAACATCAAGTATATTCACATAAAACAGGAAAGTTTTTGTTTGATATGTATTTACACTCCTGTTCTAAAGTTAACAAAGTTACTTAAGTTTTTTTGAAATTGAAATTGGTTGGATTTAATTGAATTCTACCAAAATGCTGTCATTGTTACAAGAAAAGAGACCTTTAAAAAGGTCTCGTTTGGGGCCTCCAGATGTATATCCTCAAGAAGCAAAGCAAAGGGAAGATGAACTAACTCCAACAAATGTCAAGCATGGTTTTGCAACTACTCCACCTTTAGCGGATGAATTTGGCACTGCACACAATTCAAATATGAATGCCAATAAAGTTGGTTCGTTTATTAATTCTATTTTATCAAAGAAGGAAGAGCTGATGACTCTTCAGGATACGATTCGCAAAAAACAACAAATAAATTGTAAAGATAACTTTTGGCCAGTTTCTCCGCGTACAAAAACTGCATTAGATGCTTGGTTCAAAGATCTTGCTGGAAATAAACCATTATTAAGTTTAGCAAAAAAGGCCCCATCGTTTAATAAAAAGGAAGAAATTTTTATTATTTTGTGTGATAATCAGGTAAACATGCAGCGTGCAGCTTGGTTTATTAAATTGAGCGCGGCTTACACTGTTAGTTTTACTGAGTCAAAAAATAAAAAACGAAGTATATATGACCCTGCAGTGGAATGGACGGGTAATATAATTAAATTTATGAAAGAGCTCCTACCTAAACTACATGAGTATTTTCAACGTGAGTAAATACCTACAAACCTATTTGTTATTTTAATTTGAATATATACTATTTAATTCATAGTTGGTTCTGAAAAAAATAATCACAACTCGAATAATACTGGTCCCGGAATGGCATTAGGACAAATAATATCTCCTCCTACAATCAGTAGTCCTGTAGCTGTCCACAGTCCACTAACAATGAATACAACACCTTGTCCTGCATTTGTGGGAGGCACAAACACAACCAACGCGGCCAGTGGCGCACAGTGCGGAGGATCTGGTTCACCGATATCAGGCATTGGAAGTAGTTTTGAAGATTGTCGAAATGCATTAAAATACTGGAAATACTGCACACGTCTGTGCAAGTATATGCATGAGGAGTCCTTACTTGACCGACAAGAGTTTCTCAATTGGATTTTAGAGCTTGTAGATAAAATGCGATCGCAAATATCTTTTGATATGTCGCTAAAAAAATTAGTACTGGTATTTGCTCTACAATATATGCCCGATTTTATTCAATCTGAACGTTTAAGTAGAAAATTGGCAGTATTAGTTGCCAAAAATTTATCTCAACTTTTAGAAGTAAATGTTGAGTCTTCCTCATCGAACAAAACTGATATATCAATGTCAAATATGGAAGTTGATAATGCGGAAGAAAATAAATTTAAACCGAATACAGTTGATACTTGCCTAATTGATTGTATCAATTGTCCTCATCATCGAGATATAGCATTGTATTTGAGTACAATTCTACAAACAATAACTTTAGAATGTCCCACTGCTTTGATATGGAACGGAATAAATGAAAGCCGGGCATCATCATCATTGTGCGGCAGTCCTCTGGATTTTATACCTTTAGTTCCATCACAGTTGCTGATGCCTTTCAAATGCGAAAATTCGAACCAAAATATAAGACGACAGCTTCAAATTGCTGAGACGGAAATTGCATTACGTTCTAAGCACGCCGAAAGGCGTTGGTTTGCAGAGAAATGGCGTAGTTCAAAAGTTAATTCTTTTACACATGTGCTTAATATTCTTGACCATTTAGATACACATTGTTTTGACCGTAGTGATAAGGATAATAATATAGACATACTTTACGCAAAAATATTTCCTCCTTATGATGGTAAACTAGGTGATGCAGACACGAAGAATAAAAATAAAATTTACAATCCAGCAAATGATGCGGCTACGGTAAAAATATTATGTGAATGGGCTGTGTCTAATCAAAGGTATGCATACCACAAAATAAAAATTATATAATGACTTATTACCACTTTTTAGGTGGGGAGAACATCGAGCTGTAGCTGTGGCTATATTACTGGACAAACGGCAAATTGAAGTTACATCAGCTGCAGACAATGACCAACAACAAAATACGAATGGATCTGATGAAAAGGATTCAATAAATTCCGGAGTTGGTTTGATTGGTGGTCTACCTGTATTTCAATCAGTTTTAATGGATTTTCTGGATCGAGATGCTCCAGTTTTAGATGAAAATGGCTCAAACCAAAATCGTACTCAGTTCGTAAATCTCGTACACCTTTTTAGCTCTCTCATCCGTTTCGATGTATTTTCACATAATGCCTATATGCATACTTTGATTTCAAGAGGTGATCTCTTGAGGGAAAATTTTATTACTGAATTAGACCATGCAACTAGAAATGAAGCCTCATCTATCTGCGGAGCTGAATCAGTGGACAATAAGCACTCTCCCACTCATAATTTTGACGATGAGTTTACTTCTACCCTTGATTTTAAACACAGTGAGTTTGATGACTCAAATGTCGATGATGATTTAGGGAAGCTCCTGCAAAATATTAAAGAAAAAGGGCAACAGAGCGCACTTGAAACTCCAGACAGCCCAAAAATTGCTGATAATTCGAATACAAATTTGAATGAAACTCTTATATCACGTCATTATATTTATACGAAACATTTCCCCATTCCTCAAGATGAATCTTGTGTGTCCTATAGTAATGAATGTAACCAACGCTACATTTTACTATTTGGTGTTGGAAAAGAGCGAGATGAAAAGAAACACGCTGTTAAAAAAATGTCGAAAGAGATTTGTAAACTTTTTTCTAAAAAGTTTAGCATTGACGTTGCTGAAGGTGGAAAAGTTAAGAAACATTCAAGAAATGAATTTAACTTTGAATCCACTACTAGTAAATGCAAAAGTATGTCATATTTCGAACAGCATGTAGTCACATCCCAGTGCGCTATAGTGGTATTAGAACAACTTAACGGTTTCGCTATCGGTAACAATAATTACTTACCAGTTCAAGAACATGTAGCGTTTTTGTTTGATTTAATGGAAATGGCATTGAATATACATAGTTTACTAGATTTTTGTGATCACATATTAAAAGAGCTCCCTGAGATCGAAAGCCAATTACAATCTAAAAAGTCTACATTGGTTCGATCATACACAACCTCTTTGGCCCTTTACGTCGTTGGAATCTTACGGAGGTACCATTCCTGTCTCCTGCTTAGTACAGATGAAACAATATCTGTATTTGAAGGATTATGCAAAACTATTAAACATGTTAACAATCCAAAAGAATGTAGCTCAGCTGAACGATGCATCCTCGCCTATTTGTCTGATTTGTATGAAATGAGCTTTCTAGTGAAATCAAAAGAAACAGAAACTGAGTACTTTCCGATAATAGCAGTTATGAAAGTGTTCAAAGATCTTTACAACTCACCAGAACAGTTAAGGTATTGTAAATCGCATCATGTTAAAATTTAATCTAAATTAATCTATTTTTCAGTTCGGTTCCGCAATCGTATAATCCCCATTTTTTACAAGAATTATTTGTATCACCAAGACGTGGTGGCAAAATAGAATATCATTGTATTCGTCAATTGCAAGAGTCTACCATCAACGTTTACAGTTTTGTGTCGAATGCTATTCTCGCTGTCTGCCAAGAAAGTGATAATGATCATTTGAATGAAATCGCCATCTTGTGTGCAGAATTAACAGCCGCTTGTAACACACTTTCAGAAGAGTGGATTGCTGCACTTCAAAGTCTTTGTAATGCTTCTAAGAAACTTCGATATCCTCATCTTTTCGAGCTCGTTGATGTACATGATAGCAAAGTTCATAATTCGCTAGCTGTTTTTATATGCATTTTAGTAGCAAGACATTGCTTCTCTTTGGCAGATTTTGTGCTCAAATTTGCACTTCCAACATTAGCAAACGCATATCCTGTTGGAGGCGAATTCACTCCCGATGCTGAAGCCGGTGCACGGCTAACTTGCCATCTGGTGCTGAAATTATTTAAAACCATAGAGATACCTCAGCCTAGAATGTATTCGGTGAGCACTTCCCCAAATCCTATCAATATTGTTGAAGAGTCGTTCAACATAAAATTGAGCTGTGATCGTCACTTGTTAGTAGGTGCACATAAAAACATTCCTATACAAGCCGTATTGGCAGTTATAAAAGCAATACTAATTGTTGTTGATTTAAAGACACCTACTGTACCAACAAATAGTACCTCTGCTATTAATAGTGGAAAGAGAAGCGGAGTTAATACACCAGTGCATCCCGGAAGTACCCCAAAGAGTAACGATCGCCCAGCAGACTTAAGTCAAATACTGGGTACGAGTGATTTGTCAAATGTGGGTACTGGCATTGATCACGATATAAATCAACCGAATTCCGGAAGTAGCAGTACGAAATCTTTGGAGCAGGTATCTTTACTTGAATTTGCGAATCATGTTTTAAAACAAATATGCTCTCAAGAACATGTATTAGAACGTTGTTTGAAGCATGCTGATAATTTATGTGAAATGATAATAGACGATATGCTAACGACAAAACAAGTCCAACGGGTGTTATACATGATATGTTATCCTGAAGCTGAGTATAATATAATTTCTGATATGGATCAAAGGTCGATGATAATTCGAATCTTGGAAAATCTTGAGCAGTGGACTTTACGAATATCATGGTTGGATTTGGAGCTAATGTATCGTCAAATAATGAATAATCAAACCGAACTTAATAGTTGGTTAGATACAGTTGCTAAGGCAGCTATAGATGTTTTCCAAAAAGATGCATTGGGTTCAGATAAAAATGAAATTTATCGTGAAAAACAATCGACTTGGTTAATAGTTCCACTGGTTTCAAAACTTACACCTGCCGTTAAGGGGCGGATTCTACGTGTGGCCGGAAGAGCACTAGAAAATATGAATTTTTTCGCGAAAGCGCCGAAAACCGACAACAGTTGTATTAGTAATGGAGATGAAAGAGAAAGGAATGTTAATGCCACTATTAATAACTCTTTGGGTGGATTCAACACAACAACAAGTATAAAAAAGTGTTCCTTAAATTATCAGCCTTTCTTAGGACTAATTCTATCATGCTTAAATGGACAGGACGAACACAAGGAAAGTCTACTGGTGTCATTATATTCGCAATTGTCTCACTGCTTGCAGTCATTTACTGAGGTAAATATGTATACAAAATTATATAAATTTATATTGTAGGTACATAAATAGGTATATGTGCAGTAGCGATTTAGTCTTTTTGGTTTTAGTGACTTAAATAATTCAGTACTAAATTACTTCAAAACGCTGCCGTAAATGAAAAAACGCAAGATTTTTTTGCTGAGAACATCAATAAGGAGTAACAAATTAGTCAATTAGTACAAATATATTAAGTAATATATATATAATATATAATTGGCGCTTAATAACCGCTAAGGCGATTTTCGGCCGAGCTCTTCCTCCAATTTGTGATATGCGCCTTGATATTTCTTCAACAAATAAAGGGGCCTACAGTTTATACTAAGCCGCATCCAAACAACTGATAGTTTTTTACGAGAAGCCTTTATTCCATGTCCAAAATACACCCGGAGGTGTATACATTCCCTGCGGAGGGGTGACCGCAACTGGAAAATTTAATTTAACGTTTTATTTAAATTAGTTTTCCATATCTTTTGAATGTTGGTGCCACCGGGATATGAACCGAAGCCTTCCGAATGTCAGTACGCAATGCTAACCACTCTACTACCGCGGCCGCCAACTATGTAATATCTATAAAATAGAAATCTTGCTCAATAAATATCTTTTTAATTTTTCTTGAAATTAATATGTTAGATTTTCATTTAATCATTAAAAAAGCATTTTGAATCGTTGATAGCAGGGTATTTAAAAATAAAAAAATATTCGAAATTAAAAGTAATCACTAATAAGTTTCAATAAAATGCAATTTTACTTTATATTTGACTTTATGTTTAACTGATTATCTATTTTATATTGATTAAAATTCTTTTTAGCATGACTCCTCTAATGGATTTAATGATCCTCTGGAAAGGGAAGAAATGCTTGATGCTTTGCAATTACGGTTCTCGTTAGTTGGTGGAATGTTTGATACAATTCAGAAAAATGGTACATCTACTACAGATTGGGCTATTCTGCTAGCGCAACTTGTATGCCAGGGAGTGATAGACGCAAGTTCTAATAGGTGAGTATATGAGCTTATGCCATAATAATAATGAAACCTAGTAAACATATTCCTAATTTGTAAAGCAAAGCAGTGTGGCACTCTCATTGAGTATATTTTACTTACTACTGGACTTACACATACACATACATTTTACATGGCTGTTTGACCCACCATATTAAAGCGCTCGAAATGTGGAGACAAAAACGCGCTCCCCTGATGTTATATGTTTGAAATATTTAAAACACCCTTAAAACCAGTACATAATAATTGAAGTATGTGTAAAAACTATAACATCGGCTCAATCAACCAAAACTATCTAATGTTCGGTTAGTCACGAATTTTCGTGATTTTTTGGGAAAACATTACTTAGAAACAATTTTTCTTATTGCACTTATGTATGTTTATTGATCTGCTACCGCAAATAAAACTAATGGCTTATTACTGCTTACCATTTCAGAGAACTCTTTACAACTGTTGTGGATATGTTAGTTACTCTCGTTCACTCGACCCTGGTAACGGAAAATCACTCAGAACGCGACGAGAACAAAAAACTTTACTTAAATCTAATGAAAAAATTAAAGAAGGAAATAGGCGAGAAAAACAATGCTTCAATAAAAGTTATTCGTCAACTATTACCTCTTTACAAACAAACAACCGAGGTAGGTTAATTTAGCTTTATGTTTAAGCTTACCTGAATGCTTATACTATGTAGGTAATGTAATAATATACATATATATATATATATATATACATATATATATATAATTAGCGGTTAGTAACTGCTAAAGCAATTTTAGGCCGAGCTCTTCCTCCAACACTTTATACTAAGTCGCTTCTGACGACTGATGGTTTTCTATGAAGAGCGTTTATTTAATGTGAGAAATACACTGCGCGGTCTTGACATTACCTGCCAAAGGGCGTATACAAATTGGAAAATTTAAATTGATTTTTTTTTTGAAATTAATATTCTACAATTTTTGGATGCTGGTTGTACCAGGACTCGAAGCCTGGCGTTACGAATGGCAGTACGAAATGCTAACTACTCGGCTACCGCGGCCAATTAATTAATTTAGTAATTAATAGTGATAGAAAAAAAAGTGAACAGTAATAAAAATGCAATTGAAGTTTCTTCACAAATACGAAATCTTTTTCACGGGGTGCCAAACAGAATTGAGTTCGAAAGTGAAACTCTAATCATTCCTGGCAAATCGGTAATGATCTAGTTGTTGAAATCATTCACAAAACTAATTTCACGATTGCAGATGCTTTTTGACTGATTTTTTTTACGAAAATTGTATGGGGGAGGCATATATGATATATTTCTCCAATATCCCTGATTTTTGGAGACAATGTTTGCTTGTAGATACGAATGTATAATACAAAATTCCATACTTGTAGATGATTTTTTGTCGTATTTTTTTATCAAATCCTCTTAACAGAAAAAACAGCGTATGGGAGCTATATTTTATATTCTTCCGATTTCAGTAATGTTCAGCACCAAAGTGTATTTCAACAATTGCATGTGTTCTTACATAGATGTTGAAGTCAAACGTATAACCCGCAAACAAACGCGTAACCACATATCATGTGTTGTAACCGTAAATACATTGCTAAAATATAGCGGTCAGAAAAATTCGGGTCGTTCCGGTATAAAGACCCGACTGTAACGAGAATATTGGATTTCAGTTTCGTCTTATAGCTAGCATGACTTAACGCGGGTAAATTACTGAACTCGAGGTCGGCCCACAGCCGTCGTCCAACTCGCTGGCTGTTCTTTATATTGTTGTTTGTGTTTAGTTTAATACTTCTTTCTCATCATTATTCATCTCAGTAGATATGGGCTTAACAAAATATTCTCCAAAAACTATATTTCCAGAATTTAGATTTAATATGGTTTGAATTTGTAAGCAATGTAACGAACTTTTTAAATATCAACACTTTTCATTTCTGATTTTTCACTTTTGATGGAAATATTCACAATTCAATAATATAAATAATGCTGCAAGGACAAATATTTTGTTTTCAACCTCATTACAGGTAATATCATGCGAACCAGCGGGCGTAGACATGAAAGGCAACAAAATATGTGATATGGATAAGAAACAACTTAGAATTTCAGACAAACAGCGAATAAGTGTTTGGGATATTTTGGAAGGTCATAAAAATCCAGCACCTTTATCGTGGGTGTGGTTTGGAGCAGTAAAATCTGAAAGAAAATGTCTGGCATACGAAGAAACACATCGCAGTCTAAAATATCACGCTCACAGTTTGGTTAAACCCCTTACTTATTTTTATGAATCCTTGCCATTGCCACCAGAAGACTTGGATCCAGTGCCGGAGAAGATCTGCATTGTAAGGAAGCGCAATAACCATTTATATGTGTTCTCTAATATTTGTATATTTATAGAAAGATGAAATGAAACCTGACACTCCATCGTCAGTAGATCAATCGCCTAGCGCTGTTACTTCTGGAAGAGGGCGTGGAAAGGGAACAACTCGTAAACGTAAACCGAAAAATGCAAAAACTTCACCCACAAATATAACAACTCAACCTCAGATGGCTCCACAACCCCAACAATCCCAAGTGCAGGCGCAAACTTCGCAGCAGATGAACACACAAAGTCAAATAAATCCAATGCAAATGAATACACAAGTTCGTATTGAATTTAAATTATCCTTTTCCCCGCAGTTGAATTTATTGTATAAATCCGTATACAGTGAAACTTTTCATAAGCGGGCACCAACGGGACCAGATTTTTTGGCCGGTCAATAGAGATGCCTTTTAATCAGAGGTGAATTTGTATGGGGAAAAGTGCTTGCTTAATAGAGGTGCCCGTTAAGGAAAGTTTCACCGTGCCTAAAACACTTTTTTTGATTTAAGTAATATACAATGCCAAAATTTCTCAACTCACAACAGCAAACTGGCCTTCGCCGCTTTTTCAGTTAGAGCTAACTTTAACGAAAAGGAAGCGGTGGACCAACATAAATATCATGTTTTAATTTTATACTGCTCCTTGATATACGAAAAACATCACGTACCCACTCACACCAACCGACGTTACTATTGGCTACTGTTAATTCCGCAAGACGCCATCGCCCGCTCCATATCAGCAACTGAATTGCAGTACTGTCTTTCATAATGTCAATCATGTAGTGCTATTATTGGACATTAAGATATCGTCAATACCGCCGGAGTTGATTCAGTGGACCATATATACCTGAGTGATCGAATTGTTGAATTTTTGCATTTCGAGATTCTCTCTACGACCAGAGCACGTTTCTCTTATCTTATATGTGGACGACTCCACGATATAGTAGTCTGCCGAAATATTGATAATCTCTCTCTTCGACTTTTCCTATATCTCCACTTAACGATAATTGCAACTAGATGAAGGAATACCGGATCGAAATGAATTTGAAAGTCGATGACGTCAAAATTCCGACCATAAATAACCCTTCGGTACTGGGAGTCCCACTGAATAATTGCCAACAAAGTGTAGAGGCGCAAAAAAATCTTCAAATAGCTAACCTTCAGCACATGGTGAAAGTCAAAGAACAGTGTCGTTACCAAGCTGCACCGATTTGTACGCCGGGGACTAGCGACACCCAGTCGCATAAGCGGGAAGCATTACAAAAAATCGTTCTGAGGCTCGTGGCCTCTCGTGATCTCTCGAAACTATTTAAAATTATATTTATATATATATATATATATATATATACATATATATATATTTAATATTTACCACACCAATATGAGATCATTACTTAACAAGAACAAAATTCAACATTTCTTTTCGAAGACTTTTAAATACAAAGTATTGTGCTGTATTAAAAATTTAACTTCAAAGTATTACACTAAAAAAAAAACATAGCGACGATATTAATGAGCTTATTTTTTACTGTGTGCAGTAACACTCCAATAAATATACATTCATATGTATGTTGCTTTGCAAAGTACAAAAATTTTATTGCAATTTCAGGTTAATGTTCAACAATTTAACTCTAATCAAATGTTACAACAAAATTCTGGCGTTATGATGCAGCAACAAATGCAAGGAAACATTCAACAACTTAACAGTGCTCAAAACAACCAGATCGGTTTTATGGGTAACGTTCCCCAAGGAGTAGCTCAGTTAAGTGGACAAAATCAACAGCAATGGATGGGTCAAAATCAGTATCATCCGATTCAACAACAGCCTCAATTTTATCCACATCAGGGTATATAAATCGAAATATTTAAATTTTTATTTGTCAATATTAATATTTACTACTTACATTTTTTCAGCAGCAAATCGTTTTGAAAGGCCCCAACTCAATCAGTCTAAACAAGCCTTATGTAATATGTTACGACAGCGTCAGCCTACATTTAATCAAGGTAACTCATCATCATTCAACGCTATGCAACAGCATCAGCAAATACGTCAAGCACAAGGATTGCAAACCCAAGGTCCTATTGGATCTGTACCACAACAATTCGTTAGAGGAGGGATGCGAGGAATTCCATCGAATCAAAATCAGCTTACTAATGCTATTAGTGGAGTTAATATAGCCCAAGGTGTAAACCAAAATAGTATTATGGCCGCACAGCAGGTCAATGCGCAAAATATCAACTCACAAACCAATAATCAATCAATGGCAATGACGTCAAATGCTGGTATTATTAATACGTCATCGAATAATCAAGGTAACCTAATGAATGTCCAAAATACATCTGGACTGGTAGGATCTGGCAATGTTATGCAGCAAAATTTAGGATCTGCAAATGCGAGCCAGAACATAATTAATCAGGGAACGAATCCATTTCATAATTTTAATCAATACCAACAACAAGGTATGATGAATAACGGTGGAAATGGGCAGGTACCAACATCTAACATGGTTGCTTCGTACAATCCAATGGGCCAGCGAAGCAATTCATCAGATTATATTCAACAACGCGGTGTTAATGCTGTAAATAATGGCCGTGGTCAATTTGTCAATCCAACGCCTAATGTCACTATGGGGAATATGGTTGGGCAGAATACAATATCCCCATATTCAAGGCAACAAACTCCAAGTGGGAAGCCAGGCGTTGTTTCGTCTCAACAACAATTCCAACAACAAAGATTACATCATCAAATTATGCAAATTCAAGGCAAGTAATACTTATGTATTTAAATATACAGTAGCAGATAAAACATCTGCTACTAGGAACATTTCTCTCAGTAATTGCCGAATATGCGGCAATAATTTAGAAAAGCAAAAATATTTTTTTAATTCTGGACCAATTAGTTGTTAAATTATCGCTTTCGATTTAACGTTTTTACAATGAAATGAATTCTCAATTTTGTATAAAAAAAAGATGAATATTTCACTGCAAATCGGCATATTTTTAATTAAATTGTCTATGAAGTCCTGTTGAAAGACCTATTTCAGTGGCAATTCCCAATTCGCCATATGACAGTATTACTGTTTCAATGATATTTTTGTTTACGTTTTGATTCACTGTTACGGTATTTTATTCCAAATCTGCATTCGAAAAGCAATTCCGGACCGTAGAGTCGCCAATATGCTTGACGTGAGATATGTCACCACTTCGCATTAAGTTAAGTTTGCCCTCTTCTCTTTTACAGATTTCTATTTTTTGGGGAATTCCCTATTTAATGTCATTATCAATCTATTAGTAATTTTCTAATAATGCCTATGATTCGATCTTCTTCTGACAGAATAAAATAATAATTGGCGCTTTCTAACTGCTTAACCGATTTTCGTTTGAGATTTCCCTCCGTATTTATTTAAATGTTTTACCTATAATTTTTTTTTAATTCGCTTCATGGAAGCACTTTACTCGGAGGCGAGTTGTTACATTGGTAGTTCCTTTCCAGAATTACTCAGCCTACAATGAAAATAGAGAGCTTGTTCTGCCTGAGAGTGTTCGAAGTTGAGTTCTCATTGCGTTTTTCAAAATCGTGTACTTTAGCTTTAGAGAAGAGCGCATCTTAGTTATGATAAGATATTACTCCGAATCAAGAGTAAGTCTTTCCAGAAATTTTTAATGATCGCTGGAGCGTTAAGTGCATTCTAGGTATTTATGGGATTATTATTTGTCTCTTCTGCCAAGTAGTGGGCACATAACTTTAATTAGAAAGTTATAAGTAATATGGAAAATTAATAAATCAAACATTTTACATATTACTCACATATATATTTATATAAAAAAATTTAATTTTTATTTTACTTACTTTAGGTGGGATGGTGCAATCTCAAAATCAAAATATAAACCAACAACAAACTCCAAATTTAGTTGCACAACTTCAAAGACAATTGCCGAATCAGCAAAATATGCCTGGGCAACAATATCAGCATCACCAACCGCCCTACTAAGAAAATCTCGCGATTGTAATATACAAATATTATTCTTGTAATCATCTTAGAAATTAAAAATAAAGTTTATTGTAATCAGAATATATAAAAACTATAAATTATTGGTCATCTGGTTGTTGATTCCGATAATTTAAAACACGTACAATTTTCTCACAAAAATACAACATAGAATTCTTTTGATTGCTTTTTTCGAGAAGGAGGGACCATTATAGAATTCACTCTTTGAAACTTTTAGGATTTCATTATCGTGATCAATACACATATCTATTTAATAGGACCTCAACGATGGGAGAATTTTATTAAAGTGTAAAACGTTTTTTATAAAAAATAAAATAATCTCAGCTGTTAATGATACCTCAATTAAACATTAGGTATTTTTTTTATTAATAAAACATAAGAGTATAGGTTTTCTGCTTTTATTATAAAACCACTTAACGTTTAAGCATCTGAGAATTATATTTTTATGATATTATAATATGACCACGTCAAAGCAAATTACATTTCGAAAGCCAAGTTTCTGTTTTTCTAGTCTCGGCGAATTTCAATTGATGCCCTCCTTTCGGAGGATTATTGGCTTCCTAAAAATACATGAGAAATACTTTAGTACTATTAAATGATTTACAAAAGGGTATATTTTACCAAACGCTTTTCCATTTTCGCTTTAATATCGCTGGCCAATGTTAGGAAAGCTTCTTCAACATTGATACTGGCTTTTGCAGATGTCTCCATAAATTTAATCCCGTATTCTACAGCCAATTGCTCCCCTCGCTCGCGAGAAACCTTAATAAAAAAAATTAATAATAATAAATGCAAGTTTATGCAAGTTATTTTTAATATATATGTCCAAATTTAAAGATAAAATCCTTACAGAGGCAGCTCATAATAAACTATGGGTCTTTCTATTTATCCGAAAAATCAAGACGGCGTTTACAAAACATCAATTATATATACCATCTAATACCAATTAATATTAGTTATTTCAACGTTTGTTAAACTCAACAATTTTTGTAATCAACTGCAGTCATCTCGCGTTATGTTATTAGCGTGATATTACATACATTTGCCAGCCAAGGTAGTTATTTTCTAACATACAATACATATACAAGTGAATGCATGATTGCCCAATTAATCCATCCGACGACTCAATGTAAAGCAAACCGCTAAGCGAGGTGAAGGCAGTGTAATGGTTCGAAACTGCTTCACCTGGTGGAATAATGGGCACTATACAAAATAGATAGCATGATGAACAAATAACAATATCTTCCCGATTTGATTGACATAGCGCTAACATCGAAGTTGGAATAGTGATGTGCCGAAGAATGCTCAAAAATTGTAACATTATACCCAAAGAAATAAAAGAACCGGTAAAGAAAGCTTTATAAATTATAATAATATACAGTGTTATTGGGATTTTCAAGAAATTCGTGTAGAAATTTTGATAGAGAACAAAAACAAAATATCGAATTTTTACATTAAGCATAGATGAATTGAAAAAAAAAATATCAGACAGTAAAGCGACTGTCATCTTATTTATTCGGTCCGAAAAGCGAAACACTCACTTTTTCTCCTCGGTTTTATGTAAGGTTTATAGCGTATTTCGGGATGAAAAATGTTGCTGGCGAGGGAGCGAGATATAAGGTATAATCTAGCTCTTACCTAGTACAGCAGTACAGTTTTCAGAAGCAGAGAAAGTCTCTTTCTACATTCTATATTTCAATAGGCGTCAATATCGATACCAAAAACAGGAAAAAATAAATAATATAAAAATAAATAGGATAAAGTCTAGCAACCCCGGTGCGTGAAACCGAGTGTCGTGAGAGTCAAATATTGAAGGGCCGAGCTATTTTATTCTTATAATAATTGACATATATTAACTAATGCGTACCTGTCGTTTATCGTTAAGTTCACATTTATTGCCCAACAGCATCTTTTCTACATCAGCGGATGCATTTTCTTCTATATTCCGGATCCAATTTTTGATATTCTCAAATGATTTTTCTTGCGTAATATCATAAACTAGCATGATACCCATAGCTCCTCTATAATACGCTGTTGTTATTGTCCGAAAACGTTCTTGACCTGCGGTGTCCCTAAAACAGTAAAAAGTTATAGAATTTGAATTCTGGACATATCACATACATTACCATATTTGAAGTTTAATTTTTTTGCCATCTAACTCAATTGTTCTAATCTTAAAGTCGATACCTAAAAACGAAAAAAACATTATTATATGTGTTACAGTAAAGAAAGGAAACATGTGATGAAGCTTTTAATAGCTAACTCATTCTTCTTGTGTACGAAATAAACTGAATGGATTATTTTATTCAAACGATTGTCATTGAATCCCTTATGGTTGGTTAGGTTATAAAGAATTTGCCTGCATCACCACTGTAAGAGAATTTTTAAAACTGAAATTTTTATTAAAAAGGAATATTATGAACGAAGGAGCTGGAAACTAAGTACCACCTTCTCAGAGAGAATTATTATATCTTCGATAGAACTTCTGCTGGCACCTTTAGCATGGCACCCTTCAAGAATAGAGTATTATTTGCTGAATTATTAAGATGCTCTTGTTTTATCGTTTACTTTTCTAAATTGTCGTATTTAACAGCTTAACTAGGATAAATATAATATGATATCACAAAACTTAGTTGAATTCAATGCCAATTTTGATTTTTTCGGCATCCATAATATGATATGAATTATAGTAGTTAAAACAATTAATTGCACGGGCAGTATAAAATACGGTCATCAAATTTTGATGATTCGTATAATATAAAAAGGCAAACATAAGAATAATTTAAAACCCATAAGCTTAGCCCGAGCCAGTCGAAACATTTCATTTAAGAGGTTCCTATTCGGCTGAATCACATGCTCTCCATTACCATAAATTGTATACCACAATTGTAATTTTACAATAAATTCACAAAAATCAATCTATCTACTACTATACTTATGATTTTAATTGTTGTTGCTGTTGTAGCGGCTTATGATTTCAGTTCCTTTGAATTCTTTACTTTATATCAAATTTAAAAGTATATCGTAAAAACAATACAACAAAAAGTATAACATATATATATACGTATGTATAGTGATAAAAACTTTAAAAATATGTAAGTATATGGTATTGCTATAAAATGGTTAGAGAAGTGAAGCTAAGAATAAGAAAAATGTCATTATTTCAGAAGAGGAAAATAAGGTAAATCAGCTGATAGGAATATACTACTCTTGGGAATAGTGATCATATGGTACTTAATCAAATCATAAATTAAAGCTGTATTTTAAAATAAGCGAACATTTATTCTGACCACATAATTATACAAACTGTACGTTTATATTTGTAAAACTATCTGCGTTCAGTTTATGAACAACGTAAGTTCGTTCACGTTAATTAAGTCCTTTATTTAAGCCTATGACTCAAACTCACCTATAGTAGAAATAAAGGTGGTGTTAAATGCATCCTCAGAGAATCGAAATAAAATGCAGGTTTTCCCTACACCCGAATCACCAATTAATAATAACTTGAAGAGGTAATCGTACGTCTTGGCCATGTTTTATTTGCGCTTTCAAACTATTTGATAATATTCTTATTTTTGAGGTCTGAGAATTGTATTTTACTTTCGAATGTATATACGATTTTACATTAGATAAAAGTTTAATATAACCAATGTACTCTAATTGCGGTAGCGTAGTCCAAATCACGATGCTCAAAATCGTAGAATGATCTCAAAGCAAAAATATATTAGAGTAGCCTTATATATCCCACACAAATAACATAATAAACTTAGTTAAAAAAATACCAACATCCGAAAGCCACACTCAACTTGCACTAACAAAAACTTATCAATAATTGAAAATATCGATACCGTACATTGTAACGAGCACTATTCGTAATAGATTACTCAATCTCTTCATTTATTGAACATTTTAATTGGTTTTGCATAATTTTAGGAGCACAAATCTGCTGTGTTTATGAAGCCTAGTAGCTTAAACAATTATTTTTTTTTTTTAATAATTGATATTTTATAGAGCATAAAAGAAAGGTTAAATATTCTTTGAGCTTCAAAACCAATTTTCCAAAAATGCGCTACTCAGTTTTAACGAAACCTCGTGTTTGATTGCAGTTAATTTAGTACCAATAACATAGGTCCGCATTCGGCAGACCTAAGAAGAATTCGGAAGCATCTATACCAAAACAATATTTGCAAGGATGAACCCCACGGTAACACCCGGCAGGTGCTTCTTGTTCGATATGACATTTAGGCAGTTAATTTTTCACTTTGCAAATGATGAATAGGTCACATAAAGGGGTCTACTGTTATGGTCCCCAAGGTTGGTTGAAGTTTCATCTACGGAAAGAGTTCCCAGCTCCTAAGTTGGCTATTTTAAGCCGGGCTCCTCCCCCAATTAGTGCCTTGATGATTGTCAAATTTGAGAGGGGCCCACGGTGTATACTAACCCGCCTCCAAACAGCTGATGGTTTTTTATGAGAAGAATTTTATTTCATGTCAGAAACACACTCGGAGGCGACCGAAAATGGCGTAACGGAACGTAATTTTTTATTTAAGTTAATTCTCTATAACTTTTGGATGTTGGTCGGACCAGGACCTTCCGCAATGCTAACCGCTCGGTTACCGAGGCCACAGTCAACATTTTGACGTAATAGCCTGTACTCCTTCGTAGCTATGGAAAATGTCGGAGAGATAGCGAATTCCCTTGAATGACTGTTATCTATATCAGACGCCTATATCAAGCAGTCGTCGTTATACGAGATAAAGGAAATCCACTCTTGTTTAAATTAGATGCCTATTTAAACCTTCTTACTGATGGCTTTACGATTCTCTACATACCCTACGTACCTACATATGCTTGATATGTCCTTTACTCTTTTATTTCCCATGAATTGGAGTAAATCTATCTTTCTGACATACCTAAGCGTAGCGTAGCCTTTTCTAAAGCCAATGAGTGGCGCTTTCACAAAAACAAAGTTAAAGTAATTGTATTTATTTCAAACAAAATACTACGAATTTAATCGGTCAACAAAAGTGTGCCTTCACCATTTGAATTATTTTTTCAGTGAATAATTATCATTTTATTTTATCGTCATTTAAAAAAATTTAAAAATTGTTCTCCGCTTTGCCTATGATTGTTTATCAGTTATATCACCTTTCTTTCACATTTTTATACGTCACGTCTAACTTCATCATATAACGCGCTGTCAAATTTGAAAATTCCATTTCTCCAAAGCCGCTGTGGGATGACCCATAAAAATTGCATGACCAAATTAAGCGCTCAATGTTCCAATTTAAGGATAGCAGTTTGTAATATTTCTTCCGTATAATTACGAATAAAATAGCATAAGTTTTAATTTTTAATCTCATTTATTTTTGCAATTATATTTAACTTAAATGACGTTTGTTTCATTCAAGTTTTTCTAATCGCAGCTATTTTAAAATTAGTTTCAATAAGAAAAGTTAAACTTGGAACGCCCTCTTCTGTATAACAACAAAACTGAAAATTAACTTTATGATTTTCATTTTACTATTTCTCTAGAACATATTCACCCATATTCCTATAAGGTATAAAAATATAATTCTTATAATAGTTATGTATGTAAAGAGCCTTTATATATGAATTTAACCGTCCTATGGATCGAAATGTATAATAGTGAATTAGCTATTTATTATAAAACAGGAGTAAATGCAAGTTTACTAGCATTTTGTTGCGTATATAAGTCATCGGTTAATATGATCGCCATCTCCTGCCAAGGAGCAATCGCATTCATAGAACAACTTTTAAATATATTTTGCTGAGAAGCTGACTGCATTTGGCAGTTAAACAAAAAAAAATTGGGATTCATTATCTAACCTTTTATTCCAGAATTTGTTTGTCAGTTAGATTCTTCCCTTATTTAGGAGAGTACACGCTATCAAACATAAAATGTTCTCAAATATGGTATTTGTGGAGTTATCACAATATTCTTATTACTTAAAAAATAAAATAAATGCGGAATATCTAATATACGAGACATTTAGGTGGAGGTAACACCTTTTCTTGCAACAAGCATATTTAAAACTGGATTTTTCCGGATGTAGCTCACAGCTTTTTTGTGTGTTACCATCGTGAAGTCATAGCCGTTGCATTGTAAAATTTTGTCATGGATACGTAAGCCAGCTCTGGATGCTGGGCTTTTTTCGTGGACTTCCGTAACATATATTCCCTAAAAAACGTTAAAAATTAATATGGTATGGAAAATGTGAATTCACATCACCAACATTATCTGTATATCCTTGAGGACTTTTCTTAAAATCTTGATCAATACCACCTCCTATTTTAAATCCACATTTTAGTATTTCTCGTCCATCTCTATCATATTCTTTCTCTTTATGGAGCGTAATAGGAATCTATGAAATATGCAGCGTTAAATCAAACCATGATTTTAACTTTTTCTTACACTTAAACACTCCATGGCCGTACCGGCCTGATGTTGAAACGCCATCTTTGCCATTGTGACTTCCCTACTTACGTCTTAGGAGTACTAAATAATTATATATGGAATGTTTATTTTAAAATTGGTAAATTCTTCTAGATATTTTACAACAATCAATGAAGCTATTTGAAATGTAACAAGCCAATCAAAGTCGATAGATATTTATTAATCTCGAGCTCACACAAGGTACTCGATTACAAAAAAATAAATAAATTGTCGCATTTGCTTGTCCAACTACCTGTTTGAATTGAAGGTGTGTGACAGGTATAACATCCCCAGCTGATAAGGTTGATAAATTTATTACACCCCATGATAACACCTAGAATAAACCAGCCGATGGTTGAGGTTCTGTATTTTTAAACAAAGGGGAAAGAAAAGGTGGTTAATTGCACACCTAACGTATAATTATTTACATATGTATGTATATGTATACGTACATATTTTATGAATTTTACTTTATGTGTATTAGCTTTGCTGCACAAAGAGAAACATGTTCAAACATAAATTCATATGAACATGCATATATATACACACATAGCTTTAAGGAAAACTGTTTAGGGTAATAATTTGTTTTTATTAAATAACATTCTTCCTGTGGGCAGAATTCTATAAAAGGCGACGAAAATCTACAGAAAATTAAATAGCCCGTGTGTTGTCGATTGGTATATTTTCTCGTGAGATCAACACCACCGGTGAAAGTAGTGTTAGTGCTGCCCGAAATCGTGCGAGTGTATTGATGAACCCATCAGCCCATTCTTGCAGGGTTGGCAATACTACACCATTAATTCAAATAAATTAATGAGCATACCCCTTTGAAGTAATTTTACACATTGTTCGCATAGACGCGCGCGCACTGTGTAAATCAGCGAAGTCGATTGTGAACGAAGTGCGCGCGGGGAGAACATAATCTTTCGTATACATATTTGAATAAGAGGAAGAAAACCCTATGTTCTATTTCATTTCTTAAGTATAAGTGCAGAAGATGTCCCAAATTTTTTTTTGCTTCTTGCGCAAGTTCAAATTCCTATCGAAATAGCCAATATGATTTAATCAAATTAATTATATATTTTATTTTTATTTATTTTATTAAATATTGCAGTTTTTGTATATTAATAAATAGTAAACAATATATAGAGCATAAAAATTAAAAAATTTCATTTATAATATATATTTTTGTGTTAAGCTGCAGCGTAATTGTTTCGCGGGCGTATGTCCATATCATCTGTTTTTGGTTTTTTGGTGTTTTGTTTCTAGCGCTAGTTAAAATTCCCTTCGAAAGTGCCAAAATATAATAAGTATTCAAAAAATTATCTTTAAGCAAACTTACTACATTGCAAGGACTGATCCCTTAATTTATTAACTCCAGAAATAGATTAATCATTTATACTTTAAACTGCCAAAGTCTAAGAAAACATACTACTGATTTACAAGATTCCATTTGCCAAAGAAAACATGGCTTCCTCCAGATAATTCAGCTGACATACCTATACACGTATAGCTTAATTTAAGAGACAAAATGTTAGAGACGCTGGAGTTGTCATTTATAAATACAACAATACTTCACATATTACTACATTCAACATGGGTTTAGTAATTCAGACTGCTACAAAAGTTCATGTCTCCCAAACATCTATTGGCGATATGTGTGCTTCACACGTTAAACTAGAAGATGGAAGTGATTGATGATGATTGTTGCGTACATCTCTCCAAATAAAAAAAATGATACATTTCATTTTTACACGAGAGATTAATTTCGAATATAGTAAATATGGGGAAACAAATATTAAACGTAGCATATGATTGGCGCTCTATAACCGCTGATGCAATTTTCGGTCGACCTCCGCCTCCAATTTGTGGTTTGGCGTTTTGATATTTTTCCAACAAATGGAAAACTGCATCCGAAGAGCTGATTCTGTTTTATGAGAAGCTTTATTTCATGTCAGAAATACACAGGGGTTGAAATTCCCTGCCGAGGGGCGACCGCAATTAGAAAATTAGAATAATCAGAAATCAAAAAGAAATGATTTTTGTCTGTTTTTATTTAATGATTTTAATAGTCTTTATATTGTATAATCCTTTTTATCAGTTCTTACATTGTTCCTTTCCTTGTGTGCTTATATAAAACATTTAAAATTTTTTTTTTCAGTGCCTTACAAAATTGCTTATATAGAATTTTCTTTCAGTAATTTTATAAATACTTAAATAATGTCATACAAATTCTTTATGTAAGATCTTGTGAAATAGATATTAGTCCATACTAAAGAGTGAATAAAAAACTCATACCTATAGTAACGTAGTTTGTTCTCCAACGGTCTGTAAATGTCGCCAGGACGCCAGGTAATACTTGTGACAAAACAATTATATTTTGTGATGAAAGAAAAATTCGGGCACATTTAAGAATTTCTTCCAGCACTTTCACAAAAAATATTCATTTAATTTGCATTCCATTTTGCTTTTTATTAACTTAATGCAAAATTGACGCCCAAATATCATTAGTTGTTTTTACGCTCTTCATTGCAGGTATTCAAATAATCAAAGTTTTACCTACCCCATCATCACGAAAAATGTCAGAATTTCATTGTTAACTGTCAAAATCTACAATTTTCGACCGATTGACACATAGAATATGTGAGCAAAACTTGTAATAGCAATTATAAATTGTATTCTTCGAATTCTCCTACAAAATACCTCCGGAAAAGTCATCATACAGATGTTTATTGGTTAATTTTTTACTAGAAAGTTGTTTACTACGAATTCGAATAATGTAAAAACTTAATAATGAAAATCATCAAAATATAACCTTTAGCTTCTTTTCACCAGTTTGTTTAGTTGAAAATATGGTAGTTAATAAGTTTTAATTGGAGCGTATTTGGTTTTTGTTCAAAGTTCGTTTTTTTCTTATAAAAAAAAGCGTATACAAATAAAGAACGATCAAAGATCAAGTGTTCAAAGTTCCTTCATATGGATTTGCTACCAACCCAGAAAATATATAGCGGAGAAACGCATTTATATACAATTTGTTATCATGCTTCTTTTCTTGGAGCGCATGTCAAACATGTGCATATTTGTCCTGAATCGGATAATTCTAACTATGGACAACTTATTACTTGTCCTAATAATAAAGTAATTATTAGAAAATAATGTACTAAAGTTGCAAATGAAGATGTCCTAATTGATACTTATGAAATGACGAGCTTCGTCCTCAGCGCGTGATTTCGATCGTTTGTTTTACTGCCGACGATCAAGTCTAATCGATTAATTGTACGTTCCGTGTCTCAGTTAATCACATATATCGATTTATAAACTCGATGTTAGAAAATAATTCTGTCATGCCTATTTTTGATACAGTAATTTGCTCGGGTGGAATATCTGTGTTTTGGTTGTTCGACGATGTCTACTGCTCATAGGCATCGGTATAAAAATGCTGCTCTGGATTCTTCTGAAATGCGTCGTAGACGCGAGGAAGAAGGAGTTCAGATAAGGAAACTTAAACGCGAACAACAGTTAATTAAAAGACGAAATGTGGTGTGCGAAACACCCCTGCCTGGAAAAGATGACGGAGAACAAGTAAATTTTCTAATCGCGTATCATTGTATAAATTATCAAGAAAGCTTTTTCTTTTTTCATAGGAAGTTGAAATGCAAACCAATGTTCAATGTAATATACAAGAGCAAAATACTTCGAATAAGTACTTCGATCTAACTCCGCTTTGTGAGCCATTTCCAACGTCAGGGGATGTTATAATTAAAAAAGAATTGTTGGACCAGTTAAATAATGACAACGAGGCTGATCAGCTTCAAGCCACACAAAAATTTCGAAAACTTTTGTCTCGTGATCCAAATCCTCCGATAGAAGAAGTTATACAAAAGGGAATTGTTCCGCGTTTCGTATCATTTCTTTCTAATAATTCTAATGCTTCATTACAAGTAATATATTTTTTATCAGTTGCAGTGAAAGATATGTAAAAATTTGTTTTTTCTAAGTTTGAAGCTGCATGGACATTAACTAACATCGCCTCAGGAACGTCGCAACAAACTAAAATAGTGATTGAAGCTGGAGCAGTACCAATATTTATTGAACTTTTATTGAGTCCTCATGACGATGTCCAAGAACAGGCAGTATGGGCACTGGGCAACATTGCTGGGGACTCTCCAAGCTGCCGTGATTTTTTACTCAATTCTGGTATTCTCCAGCCGTTATTGCAGTAAGTTTCCAATGATAACCATCTACTTTAATGATTATATGTAATTGGTGCTTTGAAAGGAATGAAAATAAGAATATCTATCATTTTTTTTTTTTTTGCTGATGATATTGTTCTAACCGCAAAATATTCACAGAATTGGTTTTCGGTGAATATTGCAGGAGTAACAGTCTTTGGCGGCTGAGTAATAGCATTGTGTACTGCCATTCGGAAGGCTCGGGTTCAAATGCTGTTGTGGTCCTAACATCTGAAGAAGAGTTATAGAAAATTTACATAAGAGAAAAAAATTAATTTGTCCACCCCACGAGGTGTATTTCTGGCATGAAATAAAGCTTAGAATAAACTGTAGGTCCCTCCATTTGTCAGAAAGAAAACAAGACGCAAAGCCACAAATTGGAGGAGCAGCTCAGCCGAAAATCGCTTCAGCGGTTACAAAGTCATACCAGTATAAAGACTCGCGGGAACTCTTGAACGATTAAATTCTTGTGCCTCAGGGACAACATAATCATTTATAAATCAGGTTGAGGTAGGCGGTATAACGATCATCTACCGCAGTTTTGTTTACAAAACTGTTAAACGGAATCATGGTCTGAATTGTGAACACACAAGTACGTGTCCAAATGTACATGTGTTAGAAACATTAAATGTGTTTAAAAATCTTTAACATAATGCTTTTTGGTTTCAAACGTGATGGAAATATCTATATAATGCAACCGCTCCTTGAATTCGGTCGCATTTAGTTCTTTGGTGTTAGCTACTATTTAAAAAACCTGAAAGAGAACTCCACAAATAGAAAATTTAAATTAAAAAAATTTAAAAATTGTGTTAGCTGGTGAAAAATGACTTTGTAGCTAACAACATCCACGATATAAAATTGACTTTCAGTGGGTTCATCACTAAACGACGTTGAACATTTGAATTGTATTTATCCTGACATAAATATTTTTATGTTATTTGACTGGAGACAAAAAAATTCAGTTAAAAAACATAAATAAAAAACGATTTCTGTTTTGTAATTACAGTGTCCTTAGCACTACCAATCGTTTAACCTTGATAAGGAATGCTGTATGGACTCTTTCAAATTTGTGTCGCGGTAAAAATCCACCTGCTGATTTTTCGAAAATTGTAAATGGTCTACCAATACTAGCTCGACTACTAAATCACACAGATCCAGATATTCTCAGTGATGCATGCTGGGCAATCAGCTACTTATCTGATGGTCCAAATGACAAAGTGCAAGCTGTTATAGATGCGGGGGTCTGTCGTCGTCTTGTGGAACTGTTGATGTAATAAACAATTTACGAGTTTTTGATGAAATATGTATACAAAGTATTTAAATATAATTTAAATTTCTAATAGGCATCCACAGAACAACGTTGTTACAGCGGCACTTCGTGCAGTGGGTAATATCGTAACAGGAGATGATGTTCAAACTCAAGTGATATTAAACTGTAATGCGCTGTCTTGCATAAATATGTTATTAAATTCACAATTTGAAACTATAAAAAAAGAAGCTTGTTGGACCATTTCTAACGTAGCGGCTGGAAATAGACAACAAATCCAGGCTGTGATCGACGCCAATATATTTCCTGTACTTATAACCATAATGCAAAATGCCGATTTTAAAACCAAAAAGGAGGCAGCTTGGGCTATAACAAATGCGACAAGCAGCGGAACAGCCGAGCAGATAAGATATTTGGTAATTATAAATAGTACATACTATTTTGGTAGTTATAAAATTATGTTGTACATACATACATATGTAGTTTGTTTAAATTATTACATTTGGAAATATTTTAATTTTAACTGGAGAAAATTTGAATTTTTATTTTCTGCGGTCGTAGATTAGTATGCCATTGGGGTTAATATGTGTGTATGTATATATATCAAAAGTCTTATATCTGAACAATTAGTTACATTTTCATTACAGTAAATTGTAATGGAATTCAATAGAAGTTTTTTTTTCGATTTTGATGTTGCTTGAAAAAGTCTTTTGGATTTAAAATTTAATACTTCAAAAGAACTATAATTGAAAATTAACATCACAGGCTTACTAAGCGTTTAAATCAGTGCAATTTATATCTTATACTCTTAAAGATTTTTGGTACGATCTGTTAATCCAATTATAAATTATTAAATACCTCACCTTACACCTGTGTTACTATCCTTTAAAGTAAATATATGAATTCATAGAAGGTTTATATATTTACAAACCATGTAAAATATAATCGAAAATGAAAAAAAAAACATATATGTATATTAATTTCAAGTAATTTATTAAAAAAAACTTAATTTTCTTTATTTTAAACTGACTTTTTTTTTTTTTTTTTTACATAAAACCATTATTTTTTCAAAGGTTCATGTGGGCTGTATACCACCTATGTGCGATTTTTTGACTGTGGTCGACTCAGACATTGTTCAAGTGGCTCTAAATGCATTGGAAAATATTCTGAAAGCTGGGGAAAAATTCGCTGCTCGTCCTAATCCATATGCCATAGCAATTGAGGAGTGTGGAGGTACATAATATGTTTATTTTGTATATAATTATCTTTCAATTTCTGGTCTCTCCTTTTGACTTTATACTGCACAGAGTAGACGAATTTCGGTAAGCTGTGCTTGATTTGGAGTTGGGAAAATAATCTTACATTTTTACTGTAATAATCTGAAATCCACAAAATACTAGTTTCCGCTTTTACATACAGTTACTCACAAAAATGAGTATACACAGGTTTTCGTAAGAGAAATACACGAACTATGCAAAATTTAATGAATATATTTGAATTTTTTTGGTGGAAATTTGAAGCTTGATATATTATCGACTATATTTTAAGCGAACTTAATTAATTTGTTTAGCATTAATCAAAAACTTAAACAAAATACTAAAATTATTGATAAATTCAGGTCACAAAATTGAGTATACACATATATTTTAAATGTGGCATCTCTGGCTATCTTTTTGTCCGTTATGTGATCACGTTAGCACTGAAATACATTTCAAAGATTTTGTTGCGTGTTATCGTTAGATACGCAATTTATTTGTTTTTTGTGCATTTCTTTCACCATGGCTGGTACCAGAAAGGAGACAACTATTGAAATAAGAGAATTAGTGATAAAATAAATTAATTAATTTAGCTTCAAATATAGTCGATAAGAGTTCAGGTTTCAAATGTGCATCAAAAAAATTCAAATATCTTCAAGAAAATTTGCATAGTTTGTGTATCTCTCTGACGAAAACCTGTGTATACTCAGTACTCAGAGTAACTGTATGTATGTACTTTATTTTTTTGGGCTCATGAAAGATAAATAGTTTTAAGCATAATGTAGGCTGACGGGTCCAAATTTGCAGTAGAACTCAATACTCTCACACATTTTTAGTGAGATTATTTATATTTCTCGAACTGGTCTGACTACTTGGAACGAAATTCCAAATCTTGTAAAATGTTAGTTATAAACATGGCGAATTTATAGAAGGTGAAGTTAACACGACATATGATTGCTTGTTCTTCCATCCATTTCAACAAATGACACTAACAAAATACATGAGAAATAGGTTTTGATATTTCAAATGTTCGCTAACATACATTTACAAAAATGGAAGTGTATTATATGAAACGCAAAAAATTGAATTAATAACGAAATGTTGTGGAACATTGAGAATTGCGCATGCAAACGGAATGACCTCGACGTAGATGGTATTGATGACAAATTTTTCTAATTGATCCAAATTCAAGCCTAGAATTCTTTAAATCCTTTTCCTTTTACCTAGTAAACAAATACTTCAAAAAGTAAACTTGTAAATCAAGGTCTACAATTTTAGCGAGGAAAAACTTCTCCAATGTTCCCTTTCTTTTTTGTTTTTATTTCCTAATTTTCTTACTTCGCGAACAACTAGAATTTAAAGGAGACCCTTCGCCCACAAATAAATTTACAGAGTGAAGTGGCAGTTGCATACATATGTGGCTATAGAAGTAAGTTTAATGCCGTTTCGAATCATTTCGGTCGGAGTGATGTCGAAGGAAATGTCCTTTGTTAAAAACTGTACCCTAGCAAATTGTTGGAGGTTTATTACACCATTATGATTATATTATGTAATGCATAGGCCTTAATTAGATAGGTGCAAATATGTATTTATTCACTTCACCAATTATACTTACCCTTTTCTGATGTAATTTTTGTGAAATTTATTATTTTCTAATATTTGAAATATTTGTATATTTATAGGTTTAGATAAAATTGAATACCTACAGTCCCATGAAAATCGCGACATATATTATAAATCCTTTTACATAATTGAACAATATTTTAACAACGAGGAGGAAGACACCCGCGTGGCACCTACAGAAGAAGAATCACATTACTCTTTTAATCCTAATATAGATACTCCTAATGGTGGATTTTTCTTTTAACCCAATCTGAATTTCGAAGAAAATGTTATAAATATATATAAATGTAATGGTATTTCTTATAATTACTCTAAAACTTCCACAAAGCATGAATAACAACAAATTTTTTGTTATTGTATATTAACAAAGTAATATTGTTTTATATTTTTATTTCAATACACATAAGTAGAAATTGTTTACATTCATACCTATATGTATTTTGTAAATTGACTATTAATGCCTAAACATTATGCAACATAATTTACTTTCAAATTGTTCTAAATGAAACTTGTAATAAATAATAATTACTGAAATGTTCATAAGTGAATTGCAATTATAAATAAAGATTGAATGCACCGTTCATTTTAAAAATAGAGCAAATAAAACTTGGATATTCTAAAGAAAGCAGGGCTTGTTTGTGATCGACATATCAATGCTCTCACTTTAGTATCTTTTTTAAATTCGAATAAATAAGCTTTACAACGTCAGAGAATAACCTTCAATTTAAGTTTGGTATATCTCCAATTTATTCTATCTTGTTGGCTGTTTGAACTTATCTAACTAAAAACGGAATAAATGAATGTTATTCGCCAACTTTCGCGATTGCTGCGACCATTGCTCTGTGCGGAAGGAAAGGAAAAAAACAACTAGACTCACACATACACAACATATTCCCTGCATGTGGAGAGTCTCCGCACGACACATGCCCTCTCAAACCAACTCATCTAACCCCACTCTCCCTCTGGTACAACCCCGTCGAAACAGCTCGTTTCCTGGACCTCCCACTAGATGACCTCGGCGACCTGTGCCTAAGCGGGGTTAGCGAACCGCTACACGCAACAACAACACAACTAGACTAAATAACAACAACTGAAATCTTGTGGCTAACATTTCAAATTCGTAATTGGCTGTTCAACTTTATTGAAACTTTCATCGAATAGCACTTCGCTCTGGAAGATGTAGCGAAGCCTGACTATTGCTTTTGGAAGTTGGAAGTGAGTTCAAATAATATCTATCATATTTTGTTTCCGGCCAGTTCCAGTAAAGCTTCAGTAAATTTCAGTAAATGTGCTTCTTGAACTAATTTCAATTCAATATTTCGTGTGGATTGTCATCTTAGTTTCATCTTAATGTATTCAATTTATTAACAAATATTCTATGTGATTTCTAGGATATGTTTGAATTTTCTGTATACTGTGCTGTAATTCGAATGAAATGACTTCGGAAGGCTTATGGTGGAAACTTTGGGTGGGTTATTTGTAGCAAAGAGTGTTATTCACTCTTTCACTGTTAGCCATTTCCACGTCTGTGGTAGGCAGTTCGATTTGGGGTACTTGGCTGTGGGACTTCTATAATATTCACGAAACCTACGTAAGTGCTCGGTATTAATTTCTTGTTGTAGTATTTAATTGTGCTAGAATTACTTGAGTCTTGCGAAACCACTCGAGATGTTAACTGACTTCTGTGAATGATGTTGAGAGACTGTAATGATGTATTCTGTCCAGCTGCTTTTCTGATGTACCTAGATTTTGGTTTAGCCCCCAATAAGTATCTGTTAAGATGGTCCCTACAGGTATCCCGTCACGATAATACGGGCGGTGTCTGGCAGGGTCGTAACTTCTTCATCTGCGTCTCGTTAGTTCAAATCGTGTTACGTAGTCATGTTTTTTGCCTTTCCCTCAAGTTAAAACATAGATTGCGAGGGATGCGGTTAAAATTGTACATTTTCTGTTAAATTCCTTTTGTTGCAAAATCGATAGCAGTCAACAGCAATTTGATGGAAGCCACTGTTGTTGCTCTGAACAGCTACCTTGTATACATTAAAGGGAATATGTCACAGATAGCTGCTTAGTGGCAGTCCACCACTTATCTTTAAAATTTCAGCTGGGAAATTGCTTTTTTCATAGGGATAAGAATTATCACTTCACTATAGGTTTCATCTTTTTGGATTGTGTTCTGGTTGTGGTGTAGGACTAATTTTTTTTTGGGCTCTTGAGAAGTAAACTGGTGAAAATGTTGCGAAGGCATTACGGTCGGTGGCGAGCGGAAGTTAATGAGGGAGATATGTTGGTAAAGATAGAAAGAGACAGACCTTTTAATTTTGTTGTTTTAGTACAGCAGACTTTCTATTCACGGTCCAGTAGTCTATCAAAAGTTGACAGAAAGTTAGCATACTACTTTGCCGGAGGTTTCATTGCCAATACTGCGTCAAATAATATGCGCCTTTTTGACACAATTCTCTTGAGATAAATTAGAATAAAAAACTAATAATAATGTGATTGAACCTAACACGGAACTGGTAATGTTGCAGAAAGGAAACTAATAAAAAAAAAAAGAAAAATTAAATAAAAATTAATATGCGGCGGAAATAGCCGAGTGAACTAACATTGCGAAGGTCAAAGTTCGAACAGCATCCACAATAATAGAAAATTTATTTTTCTTATTGCGTTCGCCCCTTGGCAAGGAATGTCAAGCCCTCCGATTGTATTTCTGGCTAGAAATAAAAAGTTCCTCTTAAAAATGCGCCTGTCGGTAGCAGGCGGCCGAATAAACTTTAGGACCTTCCATTTCGTAAAACTGACGCTTTTTATACATATAGAATAACATGTTATAGTAATACTATAATTTTACTTGATGATGAACAATTTGTTGGACGTAGTGTGCCGTTTCTTCTCCGGTGTTGGTTCATTCTTCAGGCCGGTTTTAATACCTCTATGAGGTTCCTATCACATTGTGTTGCTTGGCCATTAAGACTGAACAGTGAGAAACATAGTGTACGACAGACTGATATTCCCGTCCGTCCCTGCAACTTCTTTTGTACCGAAGCTCCATCAAACCGTGTCCTATTACTGTCCCTACTTCATTTTTCATTGCTTTTTACATTTATTTATTGCTAATGAAGCAGGTTGACGATCTTATTGCTATTTGTTATTCCTTTTGTATGATATGTAAACCATGTACTATAGATCAGGTATCAGTAAAATATTGGAATAAAGACTGAATCTTAATGTTTATATATACATTTATGTACCCTGCAAGAACGGGCTGATGGCACGATTTCGGGCAGAACCAGCACATATGCACATTTTTTTGTTTATCTTTCTCTCTCGAGTACACACAAATTGAAGAAGAATGCAGATGAACTGATTATCCGATTTTCTTTTTTCTTATTTTCGAGTAGAACGTCAGTTTTTACCGTTTCCTCCGCAGCAGATAAAAGTGAAAAATATATGATGAGGGTCTTTACAAGTTGTGGTAATAATATATTGTCGATTAATTAACTACTTCGTTTTTTATAACTCTTTACATTGTTTTTATTTAAGGGTATTCCATATTGTACGGAAAATTCTGTTAATAGATCAGGTTGGTCCGACAAGAATGACAAAAATGCACAAAGAAACGAAGAGAAAATAACGTACACGTATACAAATGTAAACATCCCGTTTGTCATTACGGCCTTAAGAAAGTGATATGAAAATCGTTCTACGAGCTGACGGGATTCGTCGTCATGCATTCCTGACATATGTTGGCTCAAATGATCGGAAGCCTTCTTGCAGGGTCTCTATTCTTCACCATAATTAATGGTATTGAAGTTATCGCTAAAATCACTATGGTCCTTCTTAAAATTTATCTCAACCTTAAACTCTTGTAATTTTGATTCCTTCATGTTAAAAATTGAGTTTTTAATAAAATTATAGCTTATTTGTTTATTATAATCATAATAAGTAACTGATAGTGCTAAATAATCGACAAACGATACGAAATATATTAAATTTAAAGGGAACGAAAGGGAGCCAGAACATCGAAAGAATGTTACTCGAAAGAGTGTTTCAAAGAGCCAAGCGTTCAAAAACGACTGCATTATCCCACAAATCAAATTACAGACTGTACATCCAGGGGTCGAACCTCGTGGCCCACGAAACTTCTACGGCCCCCATGTGGGAAAGCAAAAAACTGAGACAGGTTTTTTAAATTATTTCTGTTCCGAAATACAATTAATATTTTACTTTTTGACGCATGGCAAAATGCGCCAGATATATGCTTCTATAAACTAAAATTGCTGATTAACATATATGTATGTATATTTGAACTATTTTGGTGCATAACCATTAGGATTGTTGCTTTGCCAACGCCAAGTATCTTCACACATTTCATTAATTCCGCGCTTAGCTTTCCATCCAAGAGAAGTTTCCGCGAGTGATCCATCGGCGAAACATGTTGCGACATCGCCAGAGCGTCGATCAGTAAATTCATAATTGACTTTACGATTACTAGCCTTCTCAAAAGCATGTACCATTTCCAAAACTGAATATCCAACACCGGTACCAAGATTATATGCAAAGAATCCAGTCTCGGCTACATTTCGAAGCTTCTCCAAAGCCCTCAAGTGACCCTCTGCAAGATCTACAATATGTATATAATCGCGAACTCCGGTACCATCCTTCGTAGGGAAATCAGATCCGTAAATTCTCAAAACATCTCGACGGCCTACAGCCACTTGAGCAATAAATGGCATTAAGTTGTTGGGCTCTCCATTAGGATCCTCACCTATGCAACCACTAGGATGTGCACCCACCGGGTTAAAGTAGCGTAATGAAACAACTGCCCAGCGCTAAAGAAAATTTTTTTTAGTAGAAATTATACAAAACAAATTATACCTACCTTATCAGATTTACAAAGATCTTTCAATATTTCTTCCGTAAAATATTTCGTTTTACCATAAGGACTAGTGCAATTGCCAGTCGGATGTTCTTCAGTAACAGGCAAGAATTTGGGCTCGCCATATACAGTGGCACTGGAACTATACACAAATTTAAAAACATTGTTATCAGCCATTGCTTCCAAAAGAACATTGGTGCCAGTCATGTTATTATGATAGTATTGAAGCGGTATCCGGCAAGATTCTCCAACAGCTTTAAGGGCTGCAAAATGAGCGACCATATCGATTTTATGCTGCAAAAATTGAGTAAAGTAAGAGTGAGAAAATAATTATTTAAAATAATTTTATTGGCATAATTAACTTCATAAAATTATAGCTATTAATAATGTTGTTGTTGTTGGAAGCGCAAATATATTCCCCAAAGTACTTTTTGGGGAATGTTGCGGGAGTGACAGTCCTTGGCCGGATAAAAATCTGGGTCGTTTCGGTATAAAGACCCGACTGTCGCGGGAACTATTGGATTTTAGTCGCCTCTTACGACAGGCATGCCTTACCGTGAGTAAATTCTTGAACCCCTGCCCCGCACGGAGTTATAGATATCAATAGTTCTCTTCGGTGACGCGAATTTTCACTGAATTTTGCTGAACCGCGTTCGGTAAAAAAAAAACTGTAAAATTTGATCCGAGAGTTACTGGCTGAATCTTACTGACATTTCTCACCGAACAGAGCTTTTGAATGAAAATATGAAAATGATACGAAGTTTTAACCTCAACAAAACTTACCTCTTGAAATACCGCACGAACTTGGTCTCTATCAGTAATATCGATGCAGTAGTAATTTAAGGTCTTTCCTGTTAACTTTTGAACTCTATTCAAAGATTCAGGAAGCTTGGACGATCCTGAGCTATATGCATTACTCAAATTGTCTATGCATATCACATTATAACCAGCATTCAGCATTTCCAAAATCGTATGGGAACCTATATATCCTGCGCCTCCTGTCACTAAAACATTTGGAGGAGCCATTTCTACAAAAGGAGAAAAAAAATTAATATATTCTTTCGTTTACGCTATTTTTAGTCATTTAATAAATGTTTTTCGATACTATATGCTCTGTTATAGCATTTGCAAGGCGCGCATATTTTAAAAATTAAATAATACTAGGTATTTCGCCGCTGCATCGTCAAAAGCGTTAATGCTTTAAGGAGAGCAAAAAATTGATTCCGGGTTGGCCTAAGTTCTGTTCGGAATTTGCCACTGAAGCTCACAAATATAAGTTTTTACAAAACAGAATTTAGTAGAATTTATCCAGTAAGTTTTATGACAGCAGCTTCTTTTGGCAGTTACACTAGAATCCACATACAGTTTATTTTTTTCTGTTCTTAAGTTTTTTTTAAACTTTGCAATTTGACGGCATTTTCAATTTATTAATTGCTTGAACATCATTGTTGAATGTTCAAAAAACTAAAGTATATTGCAACTCGTAAGTTTCAATTCCAAAAATCAGACTGAGTGGTCGGTAAATAAACTTGGGTTGACATAACACGTATTCTATTTCTTGAATTTACTAAGACGTGGTGATACGAGCCCAGATTCAATTTTACGAATTTTCCTCACATCTTTTATTTACTTGCATGCTAAACAGCTGTATAAGCAAAAATATTTACTAAGACTTCGTGATCATACTACCAGACATTGCTTACTACATTCCGGGATTGGCATCATTCGCTCTGAAACATTTTTATGATGAATTACAATAGAAAGAAACAACGCAGTTGGAGTTTAAGAGTTTCAGGTAAAAATTCGTTTGTTATGAGAACGTAAGTATGTAAAAAATTTTAAATCTGGGTAATGTGGCGTTCAGGGTGCTTAGCACTGACATGAACCCATTCAAAAATTGTTATATATATATATATATATATATTCTTTTTCTATGTGCTATAATTTGGAGTAATAAATTGCTAAACATCAAAATAGCTATCTGCTAATCGTTCTTGTTACGGCGTGGATATGTAAGTTTATCAACATACATATAGTCATTATTGAGGTTACCAAATGCTTGGCATTGTGAACTTCCATTTGAGTCCGACCATTATTTAAATAATATTAAAATATATAATTAAATAGAGAAAAATAGGTTGATCTTTCTTATTGCCGTCGCCCTTTCATTCCCTGCGAAAGGGTATTTCTCATATAAAATAAAGGCTCCCCATAAAAAAACCATCAGCCGTTTAGAGGCGGATTAGTATTAACAGTAGGTCCTCCATTTTTTGGAAAAACATCAAGTCGCGCACCACAAAATAGAAGAAGAACTTACGTTCAAAGCGCGAATTATAATAAAAGCACAAAATACTGTCCAATAATTAAGCCTTTACTTAATAAAAACAAGAATTGACATACCCGGAAAAACTTATTGTAAAACACTGCATTTCAAGGTTTATATAAAACTTGCAAACTCTTTGTGGATGAGAGTGTGTCTTCTTCTTATCATTGCGTATACTCATGACGTAGACAATAATTTGCATAGGACAAATAGGACGTTGCTTTCCTTTAAACCTTTTTAATTAAAGTTCCACTCTATATATCCTGCATAGTTATAATTACTCTGAGGTGTTTATACGTTTAAGGAGCATGTTGTTTAATATTTTCAAAGGATTGATGGTGACACAGCCTAATATGTACTTAATTCTATGATTTACACATATGGTTGTAAATGTATTTGTATGGAAGATTATTTTCGTTTGTATCAATTTTCATAACGACACCTACTATTTTAGATAAAATTTATGTCGTAATCTCAATAAAAAATTCACCTGATCACACGAGAATTAAAAAAATGGTACTTTACTCTGCCACGTTCTACTTAGCACTAAATTTGTACATTATTTTGGCGTTTTTAGATATTTGCACTAATGTTCTCTTGCCACGTTCTGCACAATACAAAGTAATTTACTATTATGCTCATAATCATGAATATATTTGTTATCACTATTTACTTTTCTATATGTACAGCCTTATCACACTCAATTGCAGCATACAACAACCGTGGTGTTTTTTGAGGCATACTAAGAGAAATGAATAATCAACATGAGGACGTGCCATTTCGACGTGAAGGTATATGTATATATCTCAACGCGAAGTGCACTAATAGGTTGATGACTGCTTTCAAAAGATAAGAACGCTAAGATAATGCAATACTAAATGAAACACAATGCTTTTAAATTACTATTTATAGAGAAACCAGATTATTTTGAATTTGTTTTCGGAGTAGTTAAAGATTAAAAAGCACAAATATGCCCTTCGTTTAAAGTAAACACAATACTTATTGAATTCTCTTACTTATTTATACGCTTTAAATTTTCCATGATAACACCATCAATTTAATTTGCGCACCTGTCACAAAAGTGACACAACTCAAATTTTTAAATATCGATTTTATGTTTTACATATTCGGAAGCAGCTTATAACCTATTGAAGAAATTTTTTCTTATTTAAAATTTTCTTGGATTGAACGAATTCATTAATTATTTTTTTGTTCTGTTCGTCGACCTGATGAGCAGTGAAAATTTTTACTGAATCGCGTTCTTCTTCTTCTTCTTTTTCTTTATTAGTGTTGGCACCGCTTGCGCGATTATAGCCGAATAAATATTAGCGCACCATTCATATCTTCTTTTCCCTGTTTGGCGCCAGATGAAAATATCAAGTGAAGCCAGGTTGCTCTCCACCAGATCCTTTCCACGAAGTCGAGGTCTTCTCCTTTCTCAACTTCCACCAGCGTGTACTCGTCGCATACTTTCAAAGCTGGAGTGCTTTCATCCATTCGGATGATATGACCTATCCAGAGTAGCCGCTGTCTCTTCATTCCTTGAACTATGTCAATAACATCATATAGCTCGTATAGCTAATCGGTATAGACCACAACCCGCTCGCAACACTTTTTTCATAGAGCCGATTCATCAGATATTGATATCGTCCACTGGTTCTAAGATAAACAAAATTATGACTGTCAACAGCGACTTAGGAGCCGAGTCGCGAATGCGATAACTGTTTGTTTGATAACAGGAGATATTCCGTCTCGCCCTCAACCACTACCAGACCCGTTCGCATCGCTTATTTATCGAGTATGGAGAAAGCAGAACTAACGGCGAAGTTGTTTAGGCCAATAATATCAATATCCTGCGCGTACGCCAGCAGCTGTACACTGTTATAGAAGATTGTATCTTCTCTAATCAGCTCTGCTTTTCGTATAATTTTCTCCAGATATAAATTAAAGAAGTCACAAGGTAAGGAATCACCATGTCAAACCCTACGCACAGCCGCATGAGATTCGCCTTCTCACTTTAGCTCGGCTCCAAACGGGGAGCTTTGTTACAGACCGGAAGTCGTAAGCTGCTTGAACCATTTGCAAAAAAATCGCTTCTGACCACTCCCATGTGAATGGCAGTCAAAAACTTTCCTCAGTTGCGTGAACTTCTGCACATGGCCCCATTCCCCCTCCATCGCGTTCAGTAACCTAATTTATTAGATGGGGGAACACTCTCAGCTGCATTTTGAGTGATTTTGAGTAAGTTTCGAATCTAGTCATCTTTGTCGAAGCATCTATATAATAATGTTCAGTTAATATTGTTGGCTTACACGGCAAAATAATTCCAAACACATTTTCGAATTTTTATCATTTTGCCTGAAAATCGAGAATTTGAAGCAAGGTAAGTTTTTATACGCTATTTCCACGACTGACCAATTACCAATTACGCTCTCTCAATCCTAGTTCTCCAATTTAATTCGCCATACAAATTTTCGTGAGCTAATTAGAGTATAAGAGGGTAATTCGTTCCCAATTGCCATGCGGATTACGACCAAATGAATGTTTTCTTTAATTCCTTTCGAAATTTTAACAAAACCAGCTGACAAATAAGGACAAAAGAGATGAAAATCATAAAAGAAAACACTTATACACAAAAATATATTTGAAGCCAAACTTTATTTGTATATTAACAGGCCTATTCTGTCGAGGTAACAAAATTTACCTTGGTATTAAAATTTACCATTCAATAAATTTTGTTACCATTTCGTATTCTGAGCTCACTATTACCCTGTAAATTTTGTTACCAGCGAAATAGGAGGTAACAAACATATCTGCTGTTTGATTTTGTGTTGTTATTTTAGAAAAAAAATAAAAAAAAACCAAAATGGGTAGGCATATTTTAGGCATGGAATTCATTGAAGATGAAGAAAAAATGCAAAAAGACGTATTTTAAGAAGAAGAGACTAAAAAATAGCCCTTTAATTTGTAAGATAACGTTTTCATTCAGCTTTTTTTTTGTTGTCCAGGCATATTTTCCCTAATTATTTTCAAATATTTATGATTAAATAAACAAATTAATAAAATTTTTAATTTTTTGCGCACCGTCTTCCATTTCGATGTGAATATTTTTCTTTTTACTTTATCAACTGGCAAATGTAATTTGACATGGACGAAAAAAGCAGTGCTGCCAATTTTTTTTCAAACATTGTAACCAGTTCGCCAGAATACCAAATTCAATTTCGGGTGTTAAAAAAAAAAATCGGTAACAGTGAGAATAGGCCTGTAATGAAGAAAGTTATGGAAAATAATTAAATTAACTGGTATTACATTTCAAATTCAATAAGATTTTGTTAACTTCTACTAAAGTCTTTCATTTTCTATGCATTTTCAAACAAACAAGCGAAACTACATTCATCATTGCTGAAATATAATAAATTTTGAATACAAATAATACATTGAAAATGCCATATAATTGTCAATTTTATTAAAACACTTAGGAAAATACTTAAAAGCATTAACAAAAATTGTAATGAACTGGTTCAAATGTAGGTGACAAAATAAACAGCTGTTTTGCAAGTTGCTAGCGAAATTTTACTGAATCCTGTTCGGGGATAACTCAGTAAACTCACCATTGTAACAAAAGCTGGGTTCGTTGAGAAATATCAGTAAAAATTAGCCAGTAACAAAATTGAGAGAGTAAACTTACTAGGTGTGCGCCGAAATGGATTCAGTAAAAATTAGCTAGAAAGTTGTTCAACAGCTGTGTTCACGCGAGGAGCTTAGATCCTTGCATAACTTTGGGCGCTGGCGTGTTATTTGAGCTTTTGCTTTCCAGCATATATGTTTGATTTTTTTTGCATTAATGCATATAGGTAAAAATGTAATTCTCAAATGATTAGGAAAGTGATGTGGCTAAAGAGCCCATTGATTGCAATGGAATTTACCGTCTTGAGGACGAGCGTTCTTTGTAAGACGCTCGAAGGTTTGCATATTTGCAAAGCTTAGACGCTTTATGAACGAACGTTTGCATGTTTGCAATCCCTTGGGCTCTTATTTTGTTAGTGCTCATTCATATTAAAGTATAAATATTGTTTTCTTTCACATCAATTTCGCTTTATAACCGAAAATGCAGCTATAGTTCTGTACGGCAACATGATGGATAGTAACAATTTTTATTGAATTTTACTGAACCGCGTTCGTTTAGGCAAAAACTCAGTAAAATTAGTAGCAAATGAGCGCAATTTCGACGTTTAGCTTGAAGACAAAGTTGCAAATTCACGCTGGGAAATTTTCAAGCAGTGAAAACTAGCAAGTATGATCATATGATTGAATTTTGGTGAACAAAACTAAATTGACTTAAAATTAAAGTAATAGTTCTGTTCGGTGAGTAGATGGGCAATAACAATTTTTACTGAATCGTGATCGTTGAGTCGAAAAATGGGTAAAATTAGTAACGAGAGAGCGAAATTTTGCAAGTTGCACATTTGTGCTGGAAAATTTCTACCAGTAAAAACTAGCAACCGCTCATTTGTGATCAGATCATTGCATTTTTGTCAACAAACAAAAATTTATATTAAAAGAGAATATTATTAATACTTTAATATGAATGTTACACTAACACAATAAGTGGTCAAATGTAATTTTGTTGAAAAAAAAAATAATAATGACCGGTTCAATGAGAAGGTGGTAGGGGAATGAAATCATCGCCCGCACAACATCTAGCTTACCTTGAGAAATTAGAAGTTAAGAATGTTGAAGGCATATTATCCACCCAGTTTGCCTTGAGAAATTAGAAGTTAGGAACGTCGAAGGTATAGAATGAGAATATATTCTTATTATTCCTTGTGTCACGCACGATGTTTTTTGATTTTTATAATTTACTAGAAGAAATTGGAGAACAAAGTTGTCGCAAAATAAATTCGAAGAAAATTTGCTGCTAAGGTCACAATGATTCTTAATCTTCTGAAAGCGACGACGAAATGTTAGTCTAATTTATCATTTAACGGCTATTAGCATGTAGAATTTCATAATTGCTGAAATACGATAAATCTTTCATACAATTAATAAATTAGAAATGCTATTTCGTTGCCAATTTTATTAAAATACTTACGAAAATACTTAGGAGCAGAAAAAATAAATAAACTAATTCAAATTTAGTGGCCAATATGTTGTGCGAATTGCTAGCTAATTTCTACCGAATACTTCTCGGTGAAAGCTCAGTAAATTTCTTTCTTTGCGAGAGTGAGACTTTGTATGCAAACCAAACGTTAAACTTGCGCTTTCTCAAAAAAATTTTAACGGTTTATTCGTTGTGAGCATATAGCCTTCTAGAAACTTATTAAAACGTTAAAATTACGCGTGTAGAACAAGGTAAAGCATTAATTTGTATAAAAATTAAATAAGTTATCAATTATAATAAACAGATTAAAAAGGAATATGGCGTCATGTAGTACATTCATTTGTTAACATTCCCCCAAATTTTCATAATTTTTTATTGAATAGTTGCTGAGAAAAAACATTAAAAAAGAAAATCTTGGGGTGATGTGTCGAAAAAAAAATATTTTTTGACGATGTGTCATTGGTAGGAAGATAATAAAATTAAAAGTGGAAGCAGGCAAAATATTTTGAAAATTGAAGAATTTGCACCCTCACTTCCTGAAACAAATACAACAACAGAGTATCACAAATCGCAGTTCAATATTTAGAGGTTTAAAATTTATATTAAGTATAAATATGATTTGACTAATTTAAATCATAATATTCGCTTAATAAAAAACATAATTTGTTTATGGTTTTTTAGATTATTATTTTTTATAAGCATTTTCATAGTTACAAATAAATAATAGAAAATAATCAATGAAAATATGGGTCATTTTATTTTATAATGAGTTAGTGTTGAGTGCGCTCTGTGAGCAGAGCGTTAGAACGTTACTCACCTATGTCATTCATGTTCGTGTCCCCACATCTTTTGCAGCAAGGCAAGCTAAGAAGGATTCCATCGGTAATGGGATTTTAGAATGGCTTAAAGCTTTTAAAGGCTCTTGTCTATTGGTGCCTTCTTAAGTTTATATTTATATTTTCGTACTGCTGAGAGCTTTCGATCTTTATCTTGAAGTCAATATATCTATGATCAGAAAATTAGTTCTCTAAGGGGATCGTTTATTCTAATACAACATTTATTGCCCTACTATAAAAAACCCATCTTTTATTATGGGTTCCGTTGACACTACATCCATACCACCACTGACGTAGACATAATTCCTAAAGAGCTTGGAAACAACTTCGTCATGTAAAAGTCTTAGCTTAGAGTTATCCCATATCTCCAGAATATCACTTTCTCTCGAAGGTGTTCCCAGGTAGGAGTAGTGGGTTTTCAGATTTTTGAGGCAAATGAATTGTTTTTGCAGCAGCGAACAGTTTCACTGTTGTTGCATGAATATCTCTACCCAACAGAGGTTCAAAGGCTATTTTTTTCGCGAACAATATCACTGTCACCGTATAGCTCGTACAGTTCATCGTTCTAGCGTCTACGGTATTCACGCAAAGCATCTTTAAACGTTCAGAAAAATTATCTTTCGAATTTTCCCAAAACCGAGTTTGGTTTTGGTTCGACGAGATATGCTATCATGAAATTATATACATTCAAGCGAAACCGCAAATGCACCGACTGTTTGTTTGATGACAGGAGATATTTCGTCTTATCCTCTTTCAGGATCAGATCCATTCGCTCCGCATCTTTGTTAAGCTTGGAGATGACAGAATTGGCATCGCGGTTGTTAAGGCCTATGATGTCAACGTAACTCTTGCAAAAGATTGTGCATTGTATATTTAGCTCTGAAGCTCTTACGAATTTCTCCATCATCAAAATGGAGAAATCGCACAATACCCTGTCTGAAACCTCGGATGGTACCAAAGGGCGCTGCGAGGGCCTTCTCAATACTGACCGCTCTTCTGGTGTTGTCCATCGTCAGTTTACACAGTCGTATAAGTTTTACTGGTTGCAATCAAATTCAACGCGGTATATTGTTCGCAACACTCTCAAAACAGAAATTTGCTCTTTAACGCCATTTTCATACCATTTGGATATATATTTTTAATAGGAGGAAGTCATAATGTAAATTATGCTTATTGGCACACTCGAATACCAAACTCTAAAGGCCGCCAGTTAAACAATACGGTCATGAGTACCAGTAATTAGTTTGATTTCATCTCATCAAGACAACCAATCTTCTAACTCCATCAATACCAGCGTAAAACACCGTATAAATTACAACTAACAGCGACATTGAGTTACTGATTAGAAAAAAGCGCAGCTTGCGTCGATAATCAAAAGCTTACAGATCGCTCGATGGAAAAATTCGCTTTAGATGGCATATAAAGATTTAAAAGTGGCATCAAGATGTGACGAAATAAAAAATGAAAAATCTCTTAACGTTTTGCCTCTAACCGTTACACGGAAAATCGCTTTGGGAAGCTAGCTGAATAATGATAATCGCACATATTTCAAGACGACACATTTACTCCAAAAATATGCTACTAAAACTTAATTTTTTAGTGCGACGAATACTAATATAAAATAAAGATTCCAATCCAAAAAGTTTAGAATAATTTTTGCACCATTAGAGAAGAGTTTGAAATCTTAAAAGAAAAGCGCGTTGCAGTTCTGCGCAATCATCCAAATCATTTAGGATTTGGTTACTTATATTACTTTGAAGGGCTTGGGTTCGTTGTGTGTTTAGCCCTACCTACTGTTTTCCAAGTCCGGCAGCTCTCTTTCCTTTTGGTTAACTTACGTTTACACAGCAACCTATGTTCGGTTGCACTTTACCCTTCTTTGCAAGGTAGCCTGATTGTCTGTCATCTCTGCGCAGCACGGAAATCCGCTACATCTTGTTATTGCTTCTTTTACTCTCTTATTGGCGCATTCACCACCTTCGGAAACAGTGCGTCATTCATTTTTTCCTTTTTGCTGGTTGGCGCCAATTAGAGCCACCGATCGAAGTCAAAAAAGATCTATTCTATATGAGCTGTCGGAATAGAGGTCTTTCAAGGTTAGATGACTCTCATCCAATCGGTCAACATTACTAGACCTGCGTAGACACTTTTTCATGATTTGCTAAGCTATCTCAAGGTTTTAGCGATTACCTCGTGAAGCTCCTGAAAACTCTTAGCGCCAGCTCTTCAGATGTAATCATCGTCCAGGCTTGAACACCATGTAGCATTACGGAAATGAAAGTGGTCTATGGTATTTGTTTGTTGAAAGATGATTTTTCTTTTCTGCTGCCGCAGCACCTGTCCACAAGAGACAATATTCTCCTTTGTTGTTGATTTTTGTTGAAGCTACACGATATATATAATATATATATAATATATTGTTGCGAAAATGCGAGGCGAATGTCAGATGAAAGAGAGAAGCCGATAACTAGTACGTTCTAGAAACGATAAACAAGAACCTTCCATAGCGAACAATTCGATGCTTCTACGCTTTCGTCTGCGAGCAGCCGACTGCTATATAAAGGCGACACTCAGCTGCAAGTCAGGCAGTGACAAAGCAAATTGGTTGGCGTTAACATCAGTGAAGACGTAAAGTGAACGCGTTGGGAATTACATTTAAGTAGAGGAAATTGTGAAAGTTGATGTTAGTGATTATAAATAGTAAGGTGCCGTATAATTGAATTGTGAATTACTGAGAAAATAAAGGACATTAGATAGAATCTTTATAACGAAAGAAACTGCAAATTAAGTTGGCGAGTTTTTATTTAACAATCCAGAGATCGTACCCGAAGGATCTAGAAAATAATCGAGGTTGATTCAGTAAAATCGTAACAATATATACAATATATATAATACTTCAAGAGTGAGTAGAAACCGAAAGGCGTAGGCGTTCCCTGGATTTTCAATGACAGGTGATATCCCGTCTTGTCCTTGCCGAAAAATGCGCCCATTCGCTTCGTTTCTTCTCACAACTCTTTCTAATTTGGGTATGACCTGAATATGCTCGGCTAATGAAGTCTTTTGTAAATTTCCGATTCCTGGAATAAAATTATCGAGCATCAGCCCTGTTGGCCAATTGCTCATACCCACGCATTTCGTCTACTACAAAACCTCTCTCTTTATCTGTATCTGCCGATTAACGTCATCGTACCAGTTGCGGTCGAGACTCAAAAGTTTAATTGGTTTTGTAATCAGCTTGAAGTTTTGTCTATTCGGATAGTCTCCGGATTACAATTTATATTGAGATATTGCCAAATTTCTGTTGAGAGCTTGGGAGCGCTCATGTTTGGAATTTTTTATTTGCTGCACTATCCACTGCTCATGCAGCCGAAAACAACTTCGGTCGCTCAGACTTCTTTTTGTTTTCCACGGATTTTGTTTGTTTGAATCGTTTAATCACGTCATGCACAGTCGAGCGGGGTCTGCTCACAATTTCTGCGATATCCCGAAGGGGTTTTCCTATTTCAAAATGACTAATAATTAACTTCCTTACTTCATTCATCTCTTTCAGCTTTTTTTCCAAAAAAAGGTACTGAAATTTTATTTTAAGCTATTGCGTTTGATTATATACATATGCATTTTAAACGAAATTAAACTAATTGTGGGATTCACCTGTTTAAAATGCCAAGTAACTGTAATATTACCAGATGTCCGACTCCTTTTTTGGCCAAGTTTCTAGCATGCCACATGTTATTTTTTTGAAGTAGAGGTATAGGAGACCTATAAACTATTTAATATGTTTGTTATCGGTATTTTTTAAATCATTATTGGATACTCTATAGAAACAAAAAAAAAACACAAAAATGCTTAATATCAATTGGTTAAAAAAATCTAGCTTGAAGTTGCATTTACAGACTGTGCGCTGTCGCCTTCGTCGTCGCGCCCTCCCATACAAACGCCTGTTTCATCGACAAAAAGTATTCCAGTGTGAACTCAAACTTAGGAAGAAAAATCGATATATTCATAAATTTTAAAAGTTATAGTTCAATATCTGTCAAGTTGTTGGACTTTTGGTTGTTTTTTGATGCAATTTTAATTTTTCAAACGTATACGACCACTTTATATTCGCAATGCCTGCTTCAGTGGCTCTCAGCAAGCATGATGTCAATTATTTGGAAAAGTGCAGCATGGAAATTGATCTCAATTTCGGCATAATTATCAGTCAAGTATGTTAAAGGAATCTTTGTTAATGTTTACAAAAATAAAGCTCAGGGTTTTTGATGACCTGGCATGTCGACATAACTCAGGCTTAATGGTGCACAAGGGAGACTTGAAGTTCTAACGATGTTTCCTTTCTCGAATCTTTTAATTCAAACATGAATGCTGTCGTAGACCATTGGAACAGCTCCTTATAGAATAATGTGTTATCAAATACATAGATTTCAAATAGATATGTCTAAAAACACTTGATCTCTCCATTAAAAACATATAGATTTAAATATGCAGCTATAAAAATCCTTTCAGAACTCTTATAATATTGTTTTTTAGTTGTTTAGTAATAGTATAACAAGTTTTATTTAAACTCCTTTTTCAAGGATTCACTTTACAAATTGTTAAATTAACCTCTATTTATACATTCGAGTTATGTCGATTGGGTGGCTACGAAACGCTAATAAATAAAATTTTGTCAGAAATTGTTTCCGTACATATGTATGTATCTCAGCTCTAGAGCAAAATAATTTTTCGGTGTAAGTGAATCGTCCTGATATGAAATATTCGGTTATATCACTTGTTTTTCAATAAGTAAAAACATGTTTTTATAAACAATCTGAACAATGAAATATATTAATGTACTGCAATAACTTGTATTTTATAGCAATTAAACCCCGAGAGCTTTTTAGTAGTCCATCTTGCAAAAAACTGTGAAGAAGACATGGAACTTTTGCAAAGAGCAAACGAAAATGAGCTCATCCAAGGACCTACATGTATACAAGATATAAGTACGCAAGCCTTGGCTACACAGTGGATCAGCGCAAGCAAAATGTGTCCTGGATCATTTAGTGTTCAAGGTAATCAGCATGTATATAATATAGAATTTATCACTAATTTTATAGATAGGAAACATACAGATATAATATGTGTGATCTATTGTTTTAAATGTAAAAGAAATTCAATTTTTTTTTCATTGTAAAAAAAAAATTATCAATTCGTTCAAAAATGCACTTGCAGAAGAAATTTGACTCGAATATTTTAAAACATGGATTAAAACAGGGATGTAATTTGCGTTCAAATAGACGGACATGACAAAATGAACTCATCTCGTCTATCGTATCGACACAAAGTTTTTTGAGACTTTCTGCAATGGTTAAGAATGTTTATTTAATGGGCTTCAAATAGCTCCTGAATTAAAGCCCTAAAAATCACGATTTAAAAATAAACCACATTTTATCATTGACACTAGTTGCACTTACCTCATGTAACTAATTGTTTACATAAATTCCTTCAATCAATATCTCTAGCTCTACTCTTGCAAAAAAAGTAATTTATTGCGTACTAGTATTTTCCAACGTTGGTTAACCATTATACTCAAGAAAAAGAAAAAAATATATGATATTTTGTGTTAAATAAGGCACCATCTTTAACAGAAGCAAGACCTTATTTTATTGTATGGCCTTGAAAGTCCATTTTCTTCCCTGAAACTTTCCAGGTATTTGTAATATTTTCAAAATTTAATATTGTATTAAAAAAAATTAAGGTATAACAAAACATATCTTTCATTTTCTTTTGTAGGAGTTTTTGTAACCATAGATAAGCAGAATATTGATGAGGAAGTATTTGTTGCAGCGAAAAAACTGATGTATGACATTCATAAGTATGAAACTTACCATAACTATTAAAACCATTGAATATATAATTAACAAATTTTTATTGTAGCATTCTTCTTCAAGGCAATAACTTTTGTGCTTCATTTGAAGAAGAAAATTCATCGCTCATTTTTCTGGCGTATTCTGCTTCAACTAAGAAAGCTGTGTCTAAAGCTTATTCACATAACAATACGTAAGTAAGTTTTTATAAACAGCTTATACTATAATATGGAGTATTAAATCCTTAAACGTGACATTGCCAATACACTGCCCGCCTATTCCAGCCGTATGTGGTTTATGAGCTAAACACCTAATCCGAAAGAATAACTAATTAATAAACTGGCAACTTAGCTTGGCAGTTATATATATATTTATATACATATAGATATAATTGGCGATTTGTAACCGCTGAAACGATTTTTCAATTAATGGTATGTGAGACTTGATGTTTTTCCAACAAATAAGGGATCTTATACAGTTTATACTAAGCCGCCTCTGAACGGCTGACGGTTTTTTATGTTTATATATGTCAGAAATACACTCGGAGGAGTTGACATTCGCTTTCGTGGGACGATCGCAATTTAAAAAATTAACTTAAATTTTTTATTTAAACTAATTTTCTAAAAATGTTTTTTTGAATGTTGGTCGGATCAGGACGGAAACCGCGGTCTTCCGAATATCTGTAAGCAATGCTAACAACTAGGTCATCGGCAGTAAATTCCTAATAATGGAGAAATTCCCGAAATTTTTCATTATTGCTCGCGTGGGTTTTCCTATTCAGACAGAAAAACATTATTAAACCAATCTATTAAAGTCTAATATTTGTCCTATTGAAAGTCATTGAGCGCTCAATTACGAATCGTGGACTGTATTATTTTAATTATATGATTTTTTTCTGAAAACTGTGCTGCCATTTGTTTAATTGGAATATAATCGAAACTAATTAATTAAGAATAATTTTTTTAACGATACATTTTTACTTCTTCTGGTTTTACAGGGGTGGATCGTTTTTACCAATGAATTGCCATTTCATGGACAAATCTGTTGATTGGCACACCTTTGAATGCTGCTACGAATTGGATGATATATTTCCGATTTTTGATGATACTCAAAAAATTAACATTGAAAACCAGTTCCAACGAGCAATATTGGCAATGAAGCGTAGTTTATCTGGATGTGAAATGTTTGTGGAAAATGTTGCTTTAGATGATTCCCTGTCATTAGAAGGATTTGTGGCAAACAATCGAAATAGGAAGGCAACTGAAAACTACAAAGCAACTATATTTTTACCGCTTAAATGTCACCAAAGTAATGAGTACTCGGTGAAGGTTAGGAAATTCAATGGCACCATTCGCCTTTCTGGTGTTATTTTTTCTCGAATTTGGTGTAACAATAAAAATACATTGGGCGATGTAAAACGTTTCATACAAAATGATATACTACGATCACTAGCGGCACGGATACAAGTTTATTGTGATGGACTAACTGATCCGCATGTAAACAACGATGCCGTATTTATAAGTGAACCACCTCGCCGGGTATTTTTCAATTTGTTTTCGGATGTAACATTAAATCCCATACAATTCTCAGAATATATATTTCGTGGAGAAGCACCAACAGTGGCGGTGGCTCAAGCTAAACAAGTGCTCGATTTAGATATTAGTTTAGAAAATATAGTAGCAGATTTAGAGGGGCTACCTGATGATGAAATATTTAGTGATGTATCAATATCTAGTTTACAGGATACGTCCGCGCCAACAATTGTTAACTCGGCAAAATATTTAACTCGTTCAATGTATATGTTGAGTATAGTAATATCCCTTTTAGTGCTTTTATGTTCTATCTGGTTGCATTACTTCTTTCCATAATCGTTTGTTGTACATCTTTCAACGTAAAAATGTTAAATATTTTTTTTTATTAACTAAGTCAACAAATTGTTATTCAATACATCAACTACATGACTACTAACGGTAGTAAACTTTTCTTTGTATTCTGTAAATAAATAATTTTAATTGATACTGTTAATCGTGAGTACACTATGATTTTGATATTTTTTATTTGATTTGTTTTTTTTTTTTTACTTTACTTTTTTATTTAAGTCGCTCCTGAGTGAAGTTATGAAGCCCTGTCTCTTCCAATATTTTTTTATTTACCGTCATATTCAAAATGCTAGGTTCACGAATCATGGCCATCTTAATTTTTTGACTAATTTTCGTTTAGCTCATAAGAAAAAATATTACACTGCTAGAAAAAAGTCTAACCTATTGTAAGCAATTTAACTTCAGATTTTATATCTATAGACATTAATTATAATTAAAAACATTGAATATTGATTGAAAAATAATATATTTAGTGAGGTACTGAAAAAGAATATGCAAGTGGATTCTTATACGAAGGCATTACATATGTCACATGCTGTTAATGTTTAATTGAATTTGCAATTAGAGAAGTCCATTTCAGGATGTTGCATTTTAAACCTAAAAAAAAGTATAAGATAATATAAAAAATAATTATATGAAAGCACATTTACTTCTCTAAAATTTCCATTTTCTTCTTTTCTTCACTGGTTGGTAATCCCATCTCCTTTTGTCTTTGATCGTACATCATCTTCTCAACCAAACTCCGCGTTTCTCCATCCAGATCAGACAGCTTTGATGGTTCTGGATTAATTTTGCGAGTAGATATTGGTGGATCCGTCGTAATTAACCGGTCCCACCAGGTCATTTTATTGATCTGAAAATATTGAAAAGAAGTTTGTTTGTTACATAAGTTTATTGTTATCATTCACTCATTCTTATGTATAATTCATTAGCCTAGATTCAGTTTTCTCTACAGACGAATAGTCAAAAAATGCCGAAAGAGTTTTAGTAGTTCCTTCGTGAAAAGGGAAACCATATTCCTTCATTATTCAAATTTCGTTTGCTTTATTAATTTTCAAATTATCATGGACCAATATTACTCTTTCATTATAAATGACTATGAGTTAATTAACATATAATTACTATTTATCTGAAATAAAAGATATAAGTAAGAATCTAAATAACGGAATTTTTTCTAAATAACTGAAGCAATACTTTTAGAATAAATGTATTTCATGGCTATATAGATTGCTCTCAATAGCTGTACACTTACCTTCTCTAATGTAATAAGTACTGTTTTGTTATCTTGAAGAACCCATACTGAGTCCTCTTGTTTGACTTCTGCATTAAGCTGTCCATTTATAATAGGTTCCTGGTTTTTCAAGCCAACTTTGAGTGATGTTTTGCCTATAGTTACCGCTATATCCCTAGCTCTCAAAGGCGATGAATTGCTTAGGGGCACTTTTATCTTAAAAAAAAAAAGATTTATTTATATTAATATAATACAAAACTATTTAGCTATTGCTATAAGTTATGTCGAATTTCGTCAAGAGGTATCTCATTTAATAAAACTATTCTAACAAATCTTTATTTTAATTTATTTGCTACTGCCAAATATAATTAAAATGTCCTTAATGTTATATTATTATATACATACAGCTTTGGAAATATAAATGACACATTTTTTAGGTCAACTTTCTTATGCTTTCGCATCGTTAAAGATATAATTTACCAACAAGTTCTTGGAGACTTTCTAAAGTTTATTCTTCGCATTAAATAACAACATAAGCTCAAGTAAAAATTCATTAAGGGAGTAGATACAATTACACGGTCAATAATTACGCATTTAAAAACATTATTTTTACAAAGAAGGTATAATTCAATCATTATAAAACTTTGTACACTTTTTGAAATATAGATGAGGATTGTAAAATTTTTTTTTTTTTAAGGATGTCGGCTGTGCGCTGGCGTAAAGTCGACCTCCAAAAAAAACGCCATACACTGGACGTCGTATTATTGATCTGTAACAGCCCATAAAAAATGTTTAGCTTAAATATACATGTAATTTGTCGGTAAAACTTAAAAATTAATAATAGAATAATAATAATTCTGCATTTTTGCATTAATAATTCAATATTGCAAAATAAAAATTCCAAATCATTTGGGTTTACAGACAAGTCTAAGGTATAAAGAAGAAACTCAACAAAGTTTGAGCTAATTTGGACAAGTATTTTTCGAGTAATTGTGGTTGCCAATTTTAAAAATGTTGTTTTGAGGAAAATGCGCTATGCGCTGAAAAAGGCATTCTCGGAAAATGAAGAAAAAACATATAAGGTGTTCGATTTTCGATCTGGAAAATTTCCTAATTTTTTAGAGGAACAAAAAGGTACTAATTTTTTGACCTTTTAATTGTATCTACCCCCATAATAACACAACAGGCTGAACATCCTGGAAAAAGCGAAGTAAACCTATGCTAGGCGTTTAGAATGAAGACACATCTGGTTCAATTCTGCTGATTTTCGTTTTGTCATTCCACTTTCAAAAAATTTAGCAATTTTCCTTAAAGGACTCCAGTGGAAGTAAATGGATTCAGGAAATTCCTTTGGGCAAAAGTGAGTCTAATTTTCTGCCTTTTATGTATCCATAGCTGTATATCCAATTTGTGTTATATGGGAGATTATATACATTATCGACTATATTTGAGTAGAAATCATGCTTAGACGCAGAAATCATTGAAGTCAACTTTTTTTAAAGAAAAAAAAGGTAAAAGTTATCGAATTATATGAGATAGATTATCTAGTAAGAATTTCTTCTAATAGTTAAAAGAAATATATTAGGTGTATACAAACAGTTGCATGTACTATACTTGTGAAAATAATTTAAGTAATTTAAAATACCTCTACTTCTTGAAGAGTTTGCGTCCATGAATATTTATCTAGAGTGCAACCGTTGCCCGCATTTGGTTTCAGCTTTCCGACTTCATCCTTCTCAGAATCGTCAGCCTCATTTATTGGTGTTGACAGCTCCTCTTGAATTGAATTCTCTACCTCTCTAAAATGTTTTAATTATACCATAAACTATAAACTGTCATGGATGGATTGATTACATAATTTTTTTTAAGAAACTACGAGTTCATGATTAAAGCTGAAAGTGCTAATAAAAAAAATCGTAGCATAGATGCTTTCACCAGTGATAATCCGAGGTAGCCTCTTCATCTGCGTCTCGTTCGTCCCCGGTGCTCAGATCGGTGCAGCACGGCCGAGGTGCTGCCGGCCACCGCTTTGAATATTTTGCTGCGGCCCTGAAGTTTTGCGGCAATTTCGGTCGTATGTAGAGTACAGGCTGTCAAATGTGACTCCCAAATATTTGGGTCATTTATGGTCGGAATTTTCACGTCATCGACCTTCACATCTAGTTGGAGCCTATATTTCTTCGATTTCGTCGGTTGGATTTTAAGCTTCCATACAATGAAGAAGTGGGATAGGTCGGCGAGATAGCCGTTCACTCATGATGTCCATGATCCACCACTTCAACCCCGGCGGTAATGAGGATTCCTCAATGTACGATAGTATCACTGAGTGGTTCACGGTGTTAAATGATTTTGACTGATCCAGTGCTACCAGAACAGTTTGCGCGCAGGGCCGGTTTTTTTCTAAGATCATTGACTATCTGGGTGTTCATGATAAGTAGTGTTGTTGTGCTACTATGCACTTTGCGGAAGCCATGGTGATGTGAAAGTCGGAAGAAGTAAGGCTTCAAAGTCTTCGCTACTGGGAATAGGAGAGATATCAGCCGATATGACTCCTCTTTGTTGGTTGGTTTCTCTGGCTTGAATAGCGGGACCACGCGGCCCATTTTCCATACATCGAGTATTTTAGAGGTGGTCAAAGACCTTGGCGAGGAAATCTGCTCCTGATGGATTCGAATGCTTTCGCCTTCCCTATGACCCCCTGAAGAAATCAAGCGCTGCTCTGTTATTCGGCAGCTTGCGCTTGCGGCTGGATACACGTCGTTTCAATTTGTTAACCGAAGATGCAGTACTAAAATAGCTCACGCATCTCTTCTGGTCCGTCAAGGCGCGTTCACTGAATGAAATTTCCACTCGGTCATCGCGTCTCGTCGGGTTAGACAATGATTTGACTGTAGCCAAGAGCTAGGTTGGTCCAGAGGACCGATTGCAGGATATTAAGTGCTCTTCCCACTTTTTCCGATTGAGATTATTTACTACTCGCCGAATCTCTTGGTTTAGATCATTAATCAGAGGATTTCCCGGATTACCGCCGCTTCCGTCGGGAAATTAGGAGATTTCTGCTCATGGTAGTGCCCAGTCCACAAGACGTCTGAAAATAGCACTATCCAGAGCAGGACTTGCATCTGACTGACGTCATGTGCCAACGTTCTAGGTCCGACACACTGAGCTGGGAGGTGGAGCTGGTTGTGGATAAGGGTAGGGATTTGAGGGGGTCATGCTGTGGGAAGCTCTGTGGTAGGTTACCCAAAGTGGGTAAAGGTGATGAATGCACTGTCATGGAAGCTAAGGGTGCATTCGAGGGGTGGCAGCATCGGGCCACGTATCTTGTGGATCCTCCCTCCTATGGCTCTTAAGGCCTGAGCAGACCTTAAGCTAACCGAGCTGAAGAAGTAGTGCAGTCAATGCGGTAGGGAATTGCGAAAATCCGCCTTATCCTCTAATCAGGGATTTAAACGCATTCTATTGTTAGGCATAAGATTCCAGAAGCCAATACTACTAAGACAGTAGGACCTGAACCAAAACTGTGCATATTTGACACATATCGGAGAATTATATGGCAAATAATATCTTCAATGTTTGCCAGATATTACCAAATTTATTCGAAAACGGAAGACGGCAGAATTATCCGTTTTATAATCAAATTCGCAAATATTATGAATTTTTCTGTACAGTATGAATGATTAACATTTACATTTGATATTTACTTCCCGAAAAGTATTTTTCAAGCTCGTATAATATAATTTTAGTTTCAAGTTTGAGAAATAAAGTAACTTGTAACCAAAAGCAACCGAATAAACACACACTTTAATTGAGCATTTGTTTAAAAGTTTAATAACAATACATGTGCACTTACAAATCAATTAGGTTAAACGTACCTGATTTCGGATATAGGCTCGTCTTTTTTATTTTTTAACGTTTCGGGTTCTTTTTTAGCGGTTTCTATTTTGGTTGGTTCATTTTTAGGCTCTTCAATTACTAATTCCGACTCCTTTTGAAACACTTTTAAAAGCAAACCTTCCCATTTAGACTGCGAAGCACCACTGAAGAAGTCAGTTTTTCGACGCAAAAAGCTTGCAATTGTGCCTAAAAACTACAACATAAAATTAATAGGCTGAGAAAAACTCTAATAATTCTTGCCATACCTCAGGAATCCCATTCTTATGCTGTTCAGCTATTGCCAATAATAATCTATCAAATTTCTCCTCTTCAGCAGACATTGTTAAAAAGCGAATAAACACCACACAATCAAAAGATTAATGAATTATTGAAATAATGCATAGTCGACAACTAGAACGGATAATCGATTTTTTCCAAGGCGTCGTGAATTACATTGTTCTTCCTCTCAATTACGTATGCAAATTACACTATTCACACGACACGTTATTTGACAGTTTTCAGTTTCTCTTGTTTGTTCCATTTGAAAACGAAGAGAAAATAAAAGATTTTACTGCAATTTAAAAAATAATGAATTGAATTGATAACGTTAATGTCAGAATGTTGAATCCGACTGACGGCTTATAATTTCATCAAGATTAATATCTGACTGGACAGTAAAATTATTATTATTGAATTAGCACCGTTTTCACCATATCCGGTTAAGAAATTATTCATAACTTAATCTACTTTATTAAATAAATGTTGTTGATAATGTATTTGATTTTACATTTATATGCAACGGACATTTTGCTTTTAACATTGCGATTGCCAATCGGGTGGGGTTGTTGTTGTTGTTGCAGCGGTTCACTAACCCCGCTTTCATGTTTGATTAATCTAAGTCGCCGAGGTCATCTAATGTGAGGTCTGCTATGGGTGGTGTTTTTTCTCCGAGCACGTCATTCTCTGGAAGGAAGTCTTTGAAGGTGTTAACTGACACCGGCGTGCAGCGCTTGTCTGTACGCCGTCCTGTCCAGCGATTGCTGCACATGTTGATGGGTTGTGTCCTCAGGTAGAGTCCCAATAAGAACTGCTTGCACAGCAAAGAATCATCTTCCTTAACTCGTAGCACAGATGCTTGGCTGGGCAAGTAATGCACCGGCGACATTAGGAGATTTTCTGTCGCGGTCCTCAGGGCGGTGTTCTGGCAAGCATGTAGCTTCGTCGCTCGTCCCTGGCGCCCAGATCGTTCCAAAATAGTTAACGACTGGCCGGCCAATCGCTTTATAAGTTGGAATTTTCACGTCATCGACCTTCACATCTAGCTCAAGCCTATATTTCTTTATCCAGCTGCTAAGAAGAGTAGCCGAGGATTTCGTCGGCTGTATTTTCAATTGTCGTGCAGTGAAGAAGTGGAAAAGATCGGCAAAGTAGCAGTTTACTTTCGAATAGAGGTCATCAATATCCCGGCCAGATGCCATTATCGTACAATTATAGGCATATGAGGTTAGGGAAACTCTTTCTGGTGAGGAGGGAGTTTCGAAATACAAAAATTAAACAGTCGGAATGTTACCGATGTTTGTAGACCACTCAGGTAGCCAATGACTCACTTCTGCAACCCCGTCGGTAATAAGGATTCCTCAATGTCCGTTAGTAGCACTGAATGATTGACTGTGCCAAAAGCTTTTGACAAGTCCAGTGCTACTAGGACAGTTTGCATAGAGGGTCGGTTTTGGTTAAGGCCATTGACTATCTGTCTGTTTATGGCATTTAGTGCTGTGCACTTTTCGGAAGTCATGCTGATGTGCTGCTGGACGCAGATGCTAAGTGAAGGTCGGGAGCAGTAAGGCGTCAAGTGTCTTCGCTACTGGGGAGAGGGGAGTTATCGGCCGATAAGACTCACCTTTGTTGACTGGTTTCAACGGTTTGAGTACCGGGATCACTCTGGCCAAGAAAAAATTTAGGATCTTCGTGAGAATTTCTACTCCCGCTGGTCCTAGATGTTTGAGCAGCAGCATGCTTATTCCATCGGGGCCGATGGATTTGGAGGAATGAAATTTCCACCCGGTAATCCCGTCTCGTCGGGTTTGACAACGACTTGACTGTATCCCAGAACTTGGTTTTCCCAGAGGAGATGTTGCAGGTCCTTAAGTGTTTCTCTCACTTTTCCCGCTTGTGGTTGTTGACTACTCTGCGAATCACAGCGTTTAAATCCCTGATTAGGAGATTCCCGGACTCGGAGTTTCGAAAGGTGACACGCCCGGATGCTAGTGACGCCGCTTCTGTCGGAAAATTAGGGCGGATTTTCGCAATTCGGCCTCCCAGTTTGAAGCGGGCGGAAGTGGTCACGAGGATCCTGCGGAATAAACGCTCACCAGTGGTGACGTCGGATGGAGTGAACTTCGTGAAGTCGGGCCAGTTAGCTTTTTTGAAGTTAACAAATTCCCGTAGGCCCACAGAAACAAAGTCGGGAGGCCTGTCGATCGAGATTAGTATGGGCAGGTCCGACTATATTGTTTATCAAACCAGCACTCGCAATTGTTATATCCGACAGGCTTTTGCAATTACCCACAACTCTGTTGGGGGTATTATCGTTCATTGTGCAGAATGTCGAATCGTCTATCTGTTCTGCCAGCTCCATTTATTTACGGTCGTTTGACAGGCTAGAATGCCAAAGATCGTGCTGCGCGTTAAAGTCGCCCAAAACCAAACGGTTTTTACCCCTGAAAAGCGCACATATATCAGGGGTTAATCCTACTGGGCAGTTTGTAAGTGGACGAATGTATTGTACATATTAAATATCTCGAGCTCGGGATCGCCTGACCGGATAGCTATGCCCTGACATTCTAGGGTAGTATCCCTGTGGTCGATGTCACCGTGGATAAGACGATACTGCATGGTGTTGTGCAGGACGAAGCTAGGCCCGCAACCTAGACTCGTTCGCGATGCTTGGGGATTATTTGTATCCAGCCCGGCTTAGAAGATCTTTTCGCGTGGTCATCTTCGTTTCCTGAATCGCAGCATTTGACAGGTGCTCCTAGCTCATATAGTCGACTATCTCGTCGATCTTTCCCTGGAGTCCGTTGTAGTTAGATTGTAGGAGTCGGGTCTGTCTCGGGGTACGTTCGTAATACGGGGGGTGAGGGAGTGATGCGTGGATTGTGTTTGTTGCTGCTGTAATGCCTGCGGAAGTTGGTTCCGCACATTGGTGTGGGTTGGCGGAGGGTTTGTCGAAACATGCGGGGGCACACTCCTACAGCACGGGGAAACATACGCATCGCTCCACTGTGAAGGGCAGAGCGTGTCCGAAAAAGACACCAGTCAAAGCAGGAGTTGCATCTGACTGAGGTCATGTTCCGACGCAATATGGTCTGACACACGGAACAGACTGTGCGGGGGACTAGGAACTGCTCGGTAGCCAACGCACGGGAGGAGGATGAGGAGTTGGTTGTGGGTAGGGATGGGGGTGAGGGTTGGTGTGAGTCATGCTGCGGAGAGCTCTGTGAGACCGTAGACGTGTGTTGATTAGCCAAAGTGGTTAAAGGTGCTGAAGGCACTGCCGTGGAGGCTGGGGGCGTTTGGGCCCTGGCAGCATGGGGCCACATAACTGTTCGTCTTAAGACCTGAGCAGGGAAATTGATAGCACAATGTAAACATTTCACCGAATGGCAAAGTTTTTAAAGGTGTTGGAGTGTTTTGATTGCTCTCATGTCAGTATCAAATCTTACGGAGAAGAAGATATTGAAAGTTATCGAAGCAGAAAAAGCACTTGTTAGATGGGACTAATAGACTTTGAATGCAGGTGACCTGGTTTGGCCACCGCCGCTTTGTTAATTTAAAGTTGGCATTGGTATTCAAACATTTTTTTATAATCGGGCAATGGAAAATTAGTTCCACCGACCTTGAATGGATAATAAGGTTCGCTGGTTCCTGGGCATCAGTAACTATTTAGATGAATTCTTTTCGTCCACCGGTCTTGAAAACTTCTATAACTTGCCGTATAATTTCCTTTGTGGGCCAGTTTTCCAAGCTCTTAACTCTTAATACCCACGCATTTTCCTCTTTTGTCTGCAAATACTTTTCTTCCTTCTTCAGCTCTCAGGCACCTATCCCACCTCACACGTATTGTGGTTGATGGCGAGGCTGCGAGTTAGGTAACCTATTTTCTCTCCTTGCGACACTTTCGTGTGATCTTTTCGAAATCAAATAGTTTCATTTGCGGCTGTACTAGGGTACTCAGGTTATTCCCCGATCTAACTTACTCAACTTTAACCTTAAAAAAATACTAATCTTTTGTCGCCGGCGGTAATAACTTCAAAATAACCGTCGTTTAGTTAGCAATTTAACAACTCAACAGCTGATCAGGCGATAGCGAATAGAGCTAAAATAAATACAGCGATTATAAGAATTGTTAAATTATAGCTAAGATATTCGATATCGATCCGCAAATGGTAAAATATGTGCAGTGAATAACTGTTATTTTAGCTATCCGAAAATTCTCAACAGATGTTAAGCGTGTGCGATTCTTTAATTAAGGAATATTTGAGGTAGAAAGTGCTAATACAATGATGAATCTAACTTATAATCAGACATTTTGAGAGCTCTATTTATCATGTCTTTTTTGATGCCTTTACAATCTCAAAATAGGTAACTTGCCTAGTCGTTTAAGCTCTCTTCGGTGAAAAAATAGTACGAATTAGCCACTCTTTCTGTGCAATTTTACTAGTTGTTTGTCCCAACAAACACGGTTTAGTAAAAGTTGTTATTGCTCATTAGCTTATCGAAGAGGACTTTTATTTGTTCCGAGTTATTCCAAAACCGTCTCTAGAGCTATCTTAAAAATACATTAAAAAAGCACTGGAGGAGACCTTTTTTATATATATATATATATATATATATAATATATTCTTTCAATATTATAATATTTTTTTATTAGCTGAGCGCAGTTTTAATATTAGTTTTTGGTTTTTGAATTTTTTGCATTACAGTTGATTTGCTTGATCAAATCGTTTTTGCATCCACTTGGATTTCAATGTTCTTATATGGTTAATAAAGAACTTTGTGAAAAATTGTATAACGACCGAGAAACTCCAAACATAAGGAATACATTGCCCTCTAATTGTTTGCATAAACTTTTTGCCATGGCAGTAAATTTTGAAAATTAACTGAAAGAAAGGAAATGAACAAAAAAAAAACACAAACAAAGTTTTTGCTGCGGCCAGTACACGACAATACAGGACAAATTGGTCAAGTAAATGTTATTCTAAGAGGATGACAAGCCAGAGGACATAGTGAAAGTGATTGAAGGAGATCTCTGAAACTTTCGAATTATTTGTCCAACCACTTCAACAAATGCTCTCAGGGTAAAAACAGTAACCTTTGACAAAAAAAAAAAAAAAATTACCAAGGTCTTTAATGTCCAGCTTGAAAAGACTGTTACAGCAAATAACTGGTCTGCTAAAGAAAATCCGCTGCCTTATTAGCTGCGCCGAAGGGACCTGCAGCAGAGATATTGCAGACGATTGCCGATTATGAAGTGAACCGTGGTGATGGAAAGTCCAGATATGCCAAAGG